CTCTGCTCTGAGCGTCCATTCCTAATTGATGCAAACAGCGAATTACATTGCATCTCGTAGAGACAGATGCAACATTCTCAATAACAATAGATGATAGCGCATTACAGATACTGTACCAGGAACGCATATCATCAATGTACGTGTACACAATAAAATCCAAACCTCAGGCTTGTTGTTGAAGGTCAGTCGCCCCAGTACCTTGCTTGGCCTGTGATCCGATGTGAATTGTACAATAATAACAGGGTTGGATTGTTGTGTGCGCGTGTGTGTGATACGGTCACTGATAAGAAAATTAGATATCGACGTTTCGGCCGACTGGCCTGCACGATGTAAACCTCTAGCACACAGCCCGTGCTTCCTTTACAACAACAAAAAACCACTAAAACCAGACGACACGACTACAGCCACACAATGCCACCCGAGCTTATGCAACAAACACACTGTGCTACATTGTTCAGCTTACGCATCATATAAAAATGTACAACAGCTCCTGGATAATTATTCGTGCTGTCGCTTTGTCTTTCACGCCTTCTGACCGCAGCAGCCTTCGTTTTCCTTCCTCATCCCACAGCAGTAGCAAGCTCTGGGTGGTGTTCATCCGTGAGAAGCCCTACATCATATGACCGCTCTCATCTCGACCCCACGGATTTCACCACCGTGTGTCCTCTCGCATACGCCGCGTTGTAGAAGCCCTCCCACCACCCACCAACCTCCTCGTCCGCGTTACCGACCCAGCCGCCAGCTACGCTCCTCGCATTCTCATCTCGCTCCACGTGGATCCACGCGCGTGCACACACGGACGCACGTGCGCACGTGCACACACGGACGCACGTGCGCACACACACGTGCACACGTGTTACATGAATAGGGGGCAGGCAGGCAGGCTGAGTGGACATGCACACGGGTGCCCGGCTCGGCGACAAAGGAGCTTGGCTACCCCCAAAACCCCACCTCGCTTTCTCTTTTGGACCGTACCATCCAGCTGAAACACACACACACACACGAGCACCGCCACTCACTCACCCACCCCAAGGAGAAGAATCCCTGCGTTCAGTTCCCCGTCGTCCGAGCGGCTCGTCACTAAGACCACACCGGCAGCCGTCAGCCCATCACCTCTGACTCCACCATCATCATCAGCAGCAGCAGCAGCAAGCACCACTACTACAATCGGTGGCCGAACCTCCCCTAACACCACGACTCTTCCCACCACCCCCCACGCGTCTCTTCCCTCTCCCCAGGTCCCTCCCACCGGCCGACTCGCAAAGCTTTTGCGTCACTCGCACGGAGTGCTGGGGGGGGGGTGGTGGCTCTCGGCTGCCGAGAGGATGGAGGGAGGGAGGAGGATGGAGGAGGAGGGAGGGAGGAAGGAGGGAGGGAGGAGGATGGAGGAGGAGGGAGGGATGAAGGAGGGAGGGAGGAGGATGGAGGAGGAGGCGGGGAGAAGGAGGGAGGGATGAAGGAGGAGGGAGGAGGATGGAGGAGGAGGCGGGGAGAAGGGTGGTGGTGGTGCTGCTGGTTTGGCGGAGCCCGCAACAGCATGGGGATTTTTCAATTTTACGCACGCACGCCGGTGGCTGTCACCATCATCATCAGCCATGGTCAATCCACTGCTGGATGAATGCCCTCTTTCCCAAGCCGCCGCCACCGACATCTCCAGCGAGCCGGCGATGTAACAATGAAACCATTGTAACAATGAAACCATTGTTACATCGTGGCACTAGAGCCACGCTTTTCATCGCTCCATCTCCACGGACGCGTCCCACTCCTTGGCTGTGTTAAGCAGTGGGGGGTGGGGGAGGAGTCCAAGATTCGTGCCTCTGCCCTCTCGATTCAATGCGCTCCCAAGATTCCTAGGCCTCCGTTGGCGATTCAAGAATCGATGTTTGTATTAAAACATTGTGTGTAATAGCACCCTCTAGCGGATATCGATGTATAACGTGAACTCACGTTAGACAAAAAAAAACTTCCGTAATTTAACACATTCGTGCGGAGGGAGCTGGTAGGAACGTTGGTGGGTTGCTCGGTCAATGGCCAGGGTCAACGGCGGCGTGGTGTATTCCGCAAATTTGCCCGACTGTGAGGGCGGGCACAAGCCGGCGTGAGTAGGTTAAACGTTGAGTTTTATAAGGGCACCACGGGGTGACCAGCCCCTCCCCACCCAGCCCCACCCCACCCAGCCCCTCCCCACCCAGCCCCACCCCACCCAGCCCCTCCCCACCCCTCTCACCCTCCCCACCCAACCCCACGCCTCCCACCCCCCACCCAGCCCCTCCCACCCCCCACCCAGACCCTGCCACCCCCCACCCAGCCCCACCCTCCCCACCCAGCCCCACCCCTCCCACCCCCCACCCAGCCCCTCCCACCCCCACCCAGCCCCTCCCCACCAGCCCCACCCCTCCCACCCTCCCCACCCAGCCCCTCCTCACCCTCCCCATCCAGCCCCTCCCCACCCTCCCCACCCAGCCCCTCCCTGCACGACGGACGGACACAATAATCCCCTGTGGGCTGGTGTAACCAGGAGGTTCCTACCAGTAACACAATGTACAGCCCCTTTGTTGATCCGCTGCTGAAATAGGGGTCACTTGACTATACTTCACCGCTGTGGTCAGTGCAGGTTGGTGAAGGGACGGGGGTGGGGGGGCAGGAAGAACAGGACCGGTTCAGATATCGAACTCAGTTCTACAGAGGTCCAGAGCCCACCGCTCCCCCCGTTCAAACGCATTCGATTTTAAAGAACGACGATTCATCGACACGCGATGCGCGCAACGTGGGCGTCGACAGCGGCACGCATCTGCGATTTCTTCTTCACGCCACTTGCTGGCAGATGGCTCTGTTCGGTCAACTCTTGCACCCAGGACAGACGTGTGTCCTTCATTGGAAGCGGTTGTAACACCCACACTTTACCCCACCACACCACACGCGACCCGACGGGCTATTCTGTTGGGTGGACAGAAGCCGTGGTGGTTTTTATGAAACGTGCCCCATTGTTGCAACTGCCGCACCAGGAGATCGAAACTGGCAAACGCCGGGTTTTAAATTCCAGTGTTTGCTAACCGTTACAACTACGGCATCACTTAATGTAGCATGTTACCGCCGGTACTGTTGTACGTAAATCATGTTATAGGGGCCGTCCATAAATGACGTCACGCACCTAGGGGGGGTGGGGTCAGATATTGGTGACGATGTGTGACGAGGGGGGGGGGGTGAGAAATGTGACGCAACATTAATATGCGCAACTTTTAAATACATTTTTAAATGTGTGTAGCAGCAGCTCCAGTGCGTTTTAGGGAATGTACATGCGTACAGTTGGATGCTCAAAATTGCCTTCCACTCCTTGATAGCAGTTTTTATTTTATTTTAACCCGTTTACAACCAGTTAGTTCAGTGTCTGCCAGTGTGGCGAATTCCTATACACATCTCGTGTAACGCTGTCACGGTGTAATGGTTAGCACACTGGATCAATTTTAACCCAGAGGAAACAACGTTTGTTGCATCTTATTCAATTGCCAGATCGCCCGTGTGGTTTAAATAGAATGTGGGTACTCCCCGCGTCTTCCAAAACGTCTGGCCAGCGTGGAAGAAAAGGCCAAAAATGCCCTCTCTAAACAATCGTTTTAGGGCTTTCCTTCGAGTGGGGAGGGCCCTTCTACCAGCAAGTGGCTCGAGCAAGCAATCGCCAGGCTGCTACACATTCAGCTCTGTAATGTGTGGGGGTGTGCGTGCTGTTCTTGGTCGTATAGACATCGCCAACTTCCTCACGGTCCGTGGTTTCGCCAGACTGAGCTTGCGAGCTGATCCATGCAGTAGGCGCTATCACACAAAAACACACGTGCACAAATACACTTAAGAGAAAATAATCCTGCACATGTGTGCAGCTTAGAGTTTTGTTCCCGCTGCAACACGAGAATATTCGCACGCCGACAGAAAGGCGTATAATCATGAACACGTTTAACACTGTTTACCGTTTGTACCTTGAAAGCGAAGAACGCATTGAAAATATGAGTCGTGAAAAGGACATCTCCATCCTGCAATATAAAAACAATCCTTAAGAAATGTACAGAAAGTCGTCAAATTGTTTGATTAGGTTAATGTTAACGTGGGATACGTTGTGGGGACGCACAGGGCAGTACTCTACATCTAAAACCATTGCACTTTACATGTGGTTCCCCCACGGCAGTGCTCCCCGCCTTCCACCCGAACTGACCAGCGTGGTGAAGTATGGTCAAATTACCCCCCACGTCACAAGCGACGAGGGCTCGCATCCAGTAGTGGATTGACAAAGAGCTGGATGCAATTTCACATTAATATTTTAAGTACAGTACGCTTTGTAACGTCTGCATGGAAGGTAATTGTGCTTATTGTAAACCTTTTTTTATCGCATGTATAATTGAGATTTCTTTTGTTTAGTACAGACAGAACAACTACTATTGTGCTAATAACACACGCGTGTACTGTATAGCCCTACATCTGGATTGCGAAAATGTAAACTAAATATTCCAGGAACGGTCTGGCACGGCTCGTGTCTGATTTACAATGGTCGTGGAAACGTAACAACCGCGTGAAAATAATGTATGTCTCCTGACCTTCAATAATAACATTCTGTTCCTTGAGAGAAAACTATTTCTGTACGACTTACATGTATCATAGTATTTACTGATTATGATGCAAACTCGTGTTACGTAACAGTAGCGTAGCTATTCTCGAGTGGTGCAGGCGGTGCAACTGCGCTAGGGCCCACGTGTGGATATTCCCAGTCACTGGCAGCTGGCTACGAAGATGGGGGGTGGGATTTTACAAGGTCCACATTCTATTCCTTGCACCAGGGAGCGCCTATGCCACTGATAGGTGACATCTCGTTCTCGCTGCCACGTATAGTGTGTGCTTTATATTAATAAAACAAAAGTGTAAAAATAAGCGCACGTCCTCCGCTCCCCAATAAAAAAAAACCCCACCTCATCCTGGTCTTCACTCTATTCATCAGCCATGCACGCTGTCACCCAGCACAATGGGCAGAGCGGGGCGCATGCGCGCGGAGCCATTGTGCGTGTGTGTCCTGCGTGTCTGGAGAATATCTCTCCCTCGCTCTCTCTCTCTCGGCTGAATCGTGTGCAGCCTGCCATCCCGTCCGGCTGACACGGGAGATGGAGGAGGAGGATCAGAGCCGGCTGCTGCTGCTGTTGCTGCTGTGAGAGAGAGAGAGACGCGAGGAGTATGGGGCCGCGGTGCGCGCGCGCAGGTGAGGGCGAGCCACGCGTCCCTATGTCCGGGGCGCTGTCCATTCTGGTTGTGGGTGCTGAAAAGGGCAACCCCCCCATCCCCCCCCCACTGAACGAATGTGTGTTTGTATTTGCTGTTTAGAATATACCCATGTTAGTGGTGTACGCTGTTTGCCCGGGGAGTATTACCGTCAGCGAAAATTAGTTCACGTTTAGTTACGATGGTTTTAATTAATCACAAAATGTGCATTACGCGCATTTTACATTAGTGCGCCTATTGTGCCTATGCTGTACAGCGTTTGTGTTATTAATTCACACAGTAATGTAGGCAAATTCAGCACTCTGTGCGAATCAGTTGAAATTGCACGCAATTGACGACTGGCTTGCGTGGGCTTTAATAGGAGCGTGGAAAGAAACGTGCCCAGTAGCTCTAGAAAGTGTCACATGCTGAGTCGTGTAGATTCAACACATTTACATTTTTATTGCCCTGCAATGCTAAAAACGCTGACGTGCACGCATATTGGTTCGTACCCTGCATGTACCAAACTTGCATTGACTCTATCTATCTCGTTGGCCTCCCTCTACCTCTCTAGCCCACGTGCTGTGAAGAAGGGCCATTGCCCAAAACGTCACCTATTATACACTTTTTATCTTGAAGGCAATGTTGAGAACAAAGGTGTTTAGATGTGTTAATACTGTGATGCTTACACAAATACGGAGGCATTTAATCACAGTGTAAAATATTGCCCAAATTTACTTAAAGCTTTCGTGACTGCAGGAATTCATATTCTTTGGGTCTTTTGGTAAAGTCGTGTAGATAGGTTCAAAGAAAATAACAAAAAACAGGAGGATGATGATGACAGCTTGCGTTGCGATCGAAATGTCGTAGTTTTTTGTTATTTTTTGTTATTTTCTTTGAACCTATCTACGTGACTTTACCGAAAGACCCAAAGAATATTGCCCAAATTATCATTTATCAAACATCGTGATATTTAAGCTCTACACTGCATATGACAACAGCCCTCGTGAGCATTATTCACCGTGTTATCGTTATTTGCCAATTGTTTTTTTATGTTTTTATGGTAAATGTATTATTATTACAGTACCGTACTTCTACACATGGCAAATAAGTTTCAGCCACCCCTCGCCATTGCCCTGACCCTGATCTTGGACCTAAACAATTACACGAGGCAAATTTAGCTACATTGTGGTGGGTGATGTCACCGATGTGTTTGGTGGGTGACCTTTATGGCAGTGGCGTAGCATGGTTGATATTGGCCCTGGTGCAAGGAATGAAATGGTAGACCCTGTCCAATTTTTCTCCTGACACCTCGGTGCCTGGCCCCACTAACCCGTGGTGTCCACTGCAATTGCACCGCCCCCACACTCATTAGCTATGCCACTGGTCTATGGTGAGTAAAGTGAATGGTGAGTGACATATAAAGTGCATGATCTGCATGGTGGGTGACGTGCATGGTGTGCAGTGCTGCTGCTTACTCTCTGCTGGCTGAGCTTCACGGCCAGCGATCAGGACTTTTACCTTTCCCCCGGGGTCACGTTCGTGCATGTGCTGGACCGCACCTACTACAAGCGTTTCTTCCCATCGCCGCAAGAACACCGAGGTACTCAACGCTGCTAGCAGCTCGGAAATTTCACACATCGATTCACATAGCGCCTCCTTCCCCTTCATTTATCTGTACCCCTGAGCCCCAGTACTATGATCAGTCTCCCCGTATAGCCCTTGATTTGTTACCAATGCAATAGCCATTACAGTGGATGATTTCATTTCAGAATACCAGCTCTAGCAAGATCTGTCCTTTTATAATCAATGGTCAAACACTAAGGGTAATTTATTGACCTCCAGATGACAGGTCCTGGCCCCTGTCATGAAATGTAATGCTGCGTGTGAAACACTGCATTCATTCAGCACAACCATTTTATATCAAAACGGGGTGTTTTCTACAGGGCCTAAACTCCACTTGTGATGGGGTGCTTTAGATGAAACACAACAGCCAAATAAAGCTTCCTATTTCGTTTAATTAAACGTGTCGCTCCACACCGTGGTAATCTAAATCGGTATAATCAATGGAGTAAAGGTTTCTTGCCCTCTCTGGCTTTGTCGATCGTAGATGACCCGATCACCTTCCACACCAACCTCCAGGGATTCCCCGATCGGCCTGGGTGGTTGCGCTACCTGCAGCGCTCCCCGCACGAGGACGGCATGCTGTACGGGACGCCAACCATTCAGCATGTTGGCAAGACAGTCATCGAGGTGCCAGTGCAATTCACCATCCTTGTCTACCAGCGGTTAAATAAGCCGGCGTGCATGGGCAATGGATACCGGTAGGGGAAAAAATAGACTATCTGACATACCGGCAAAGGAGAAAATATATAATATACATTTTATGCAATATAATGCCAAAATGTATGGTGTACCATACAATAAATGCACTACAATATGTTGCGTAATGTATATTAAATGTATTAGAATACCATTATGTGGTATACGATGTATATTATATCTACTACTATACCCTTATGTGGTACATATCGTGTAATATTAATTGCAATAAAATACTGTTAAGTTGTACATTTTTGTATGCGCAAACCAGCGCCTTATTCAAACCAACTTGACAACTATCAACCCCTTGTTTGTCTCATCTCCACCATTTAGAAGAACTCTCATTAAAACCAAGCATAACCAAGATGGACTGTCCCTCCCCACGCCACGAACACAATGCCATCCTCCAGTCACTCATCCAGTGCCCCTGGCACCGCTTCTTCTGCACCCCTTATTGAAATACATTCACTCGGCAACAGCTTTTACTCGAGCACGCTCCCTTGTTGCGTGGCTTGGCACCAACGTCCCCTGTTGGGGTTTATCAGAGTCTATTACTATGCTAGTCACAACCGCGGCACCGCACGAACGGCTACGGTCACATTTGTGTTTTCTCCTGGAAGTCGGGTGCTCGCCGTCATTTAGAAAGCGAACATATGCCTATGCGTGGGCACGCGCACACAAATTCGCATGCGCCACGTATGACAGCTACCGCTTAATCACTCCCGCATTCAAATTCAAACACACGGCGCACACCACTGAGATTTTAATTACAAATAAAAAAAAATGTATAATCGAATTGCTGCCACAGCATATCTCATTCATTCCACTCAGTTTCCTCTTTTCAAAACAATGGCGGTCCAATGTTGTCCCTTGAGTAATCTTCAAAAAAGCATTTGATTCACCATGGCGATAATGCTGTGTGGCCGCCACTGTTGGGAAGGAAAGAGACGTGGGGGTGGGGGTTGGAGGAAATACGCCCCCCTCCCCCTTCCCCCCGTCCCTGCTTAGTAGTCAGGTCAGGGCATCAGCGACCTGCGTTCAGAAAACATTTGGACCGCGTCCACACTCCGCTGTTGTGCGTGGGGCGAAACCAACCACCCACAAGTCGATCCATTCCCACGTCTACCGAGAGACTGTCACTTCTTATTGCCTTCATAACCGTACACCCATTCAAAGTCTGTAACTGTGCAATCATTTATTAGCGCGTGAAGGCAGTCTTGAAATATCATGGGGGGAAATAACTCTGTTGCGTAGTTACTCGAAATTGCTATGTGACGTAATCAGTTGCCCTATAATATTGACATATTTATGAGCCCAACTTTGATGACTTTATTTAACACGTAGGCTTTCGCGACCAAATATTATTAATAATAAAGGTTTTTGGGTTAGATCGCGTCAGTATAAATGCGTCGAAACCCTCCACCACCAGAATACTGGCAAATCGCCCGATGATGCTGGATGTAATAACCAGCGAAACGTCGTACTCAAATTGTAAATGTTGTGGATTCACTCTTCAACCCGCCGGTGGGCTGAAGTAATAACTATTTGTCGTTTTGTTCACGTGACAAATCCATTACTGATTGGCCGTGTCGGGTGGTGGAGGGTTTCGACACATTTATACTCACGCGATTAAACCCAAAAACCTTTATTTTGATTACTTGATTTGCTTTTATACGTAACGGATTCGTGGATTTGCAAGGTCAATATTGAATGCATGTTTTCATTTTTTATGTGATATCAGCTTGTACTTACATAACATGATCATTCTAAAATAAGCAGCACTGTTAACCGTAAGTCGTTTTTCATTTATTCCTAATGCACTTTAAGAGTCTTTAAATGGGTTACAACAGAGCCTAAGACTCTTATCACCACCTTCATTATTTTAATATTATAAATATTAATGTAATGCTGGTAAATGAGTGCATACATATTTGGAGGTATATTGAGGGATGGGAATTTATGATATTTGATTATGGGGTTGTCATGGATGGATGACCACCATCCACAAACAAGTTGTCATGAGGCTTGAGAGGCGACATGGTGGTCAACAGAGCCAGTGCAGCAACCTCCGTTGTTGTAGTGTGATCCTATGCTCCCACGTCTATGCTCACCCGTGTTCACCATCCAGCACGCACCAGCATGATGACATATGGTCAAATGACCCCTATGACCTGCACAGCGTGGAGAGGCTCTCATCCAGCAAGGGATTACCAAGAGGGTTGTATATGTACATATTGAGTGTTAGCTGGAAGTCAATGTGTATTTGCAGAACGTGTCCTGTCGTTGCAGGTGATTGCTTACAACCGATGGACGTACGACACCATCCAGCACACAGTGGTCTTCAACATCCTGCCGTCAAATAGTGAGGCTCCACGCTTACGATCTCTTCACATCTTAAGGAGAGGGGGAGGGGGGGTGATGTCAGCCTTCTCATGCCCCACGCTCTTAAGGGGTGATGACGTGGCCGAGTACTGCAGCTGACTTAACCGCAATAATCGCACGCATTCTGCTTCACAGTGGACATTATAGATCATTGACGTCCGTCACAAGAATAGGCCATTGCGTGCCGGCGTAACGGTCCACATTTTCCGAATTAAAAATCACCTGCAAGTTTCTTAAGTGGAATATGCATTGCAATTATCGCCCGCTACTGCAAAAACCTGGCAGGCTTTCCTGGGTAAACAAACATGATTCTAAATAATAACCCTGCACATGCAGGCTACGTGTGCAGCAGAGCACACAGGACATCGTGTGCATGCACCGTTAACAGGAACCCACATGTTCAGCAGGAGCGATGTTTGCAGCAGGTCAGAGAGAGAGAGAAGCTTCACTGCCTCCCATTACAAAGGCCGGGCGCGGTGTTTACCTTTCTTCAGCGAGAGGTTGTGCCTTCCTCAAAATTAAACCTGCCCCTTTCCCTGCCCTATCCAGAATGTAATTCCCACTGACGCTCAGTGCTGGTGTGAAAAATCAGAAAGAAGCAATTTTATTTTCTGAAACAATAGCACACATTGTGATGGTTTTCAGGGAACATTGACGCTTGCGCCCAGTGAATTAAAACGAAGCAGTTTTATTGGTAAATATGCGTGTGGGGAATTACAAAACAGCAGATGGACTCAGATGTTATGATTAATGTTTCTACTCACCAGAGGATACTCACATCACTCACGAGGACTACAGGGAGTTGTTTGTGCCAGAGAAACTCAAATTAGACCAGGACAAGTCTAATGTTTGTGTTTTTTCGGCTGGGCTATATGATTATTTAAGTAATCGATTACTTTAGCAAATATCGTTTTGAATACTCGACTAATCGGAAATAAGCTTTTGGAAAAAATACATCTCACATCTGCTGTCCTGTGTGCCGCTGGATGGTAGGTAAAAGTCACAGCTTGATGGTGTCATTGGCATCATCAGCTGCTTCACGCTGGGGAAAGCTGTTCGGGGCATCCACCAATATAATGAAAGAGGCATTAGTAATCAACAACAAAAATGTAGTCGATAATAATTCGTTGATTAATCCAAATCGACTAATTGTCCCAGTTGAAATATACTGATTAATCCGTGTCCCTCTTTCTGATTCACATGTATCAGAGAACACACACACACACACGTTAGAAAAATCATACTGACTGTTGATAAAAATGTAATGGGCTTGTGCAGAACACGTACTGGCTTGAAGAGGTAATGGCCGGTGGTTGAGAGTAACGACAGAGTGAGGAATAAATAAGCCCTAGAGGAGATCCCCCACATACTATCAGCTAATGTGCATGCGGCAGATGGGATTGTTGCATCGCAGGACGGTGAGAGATGGCCAAGGCTTGGGGAAACCTTCATCTAGCAGTATGTAAATCATGGCTGATGATGATAGTGTTGATGAAAAGTGTACAAAACTTTGCACGGATACAAGCGGTTATGTTGCCTTGCGCGTGCAGTCAGTCTCCCCTTCCAAGCGGAGTTCTTCATCCGCAACATGAACGTGGAGGAGTTGCTTCCGAGCAACGTGCTTGGTGACTTCCTAGGCGCGGTTAAGGCCATCTGGCAGCCGGGACACAACCTGCGTCTGCACGCCCTCAATGTCAGCTCGGCGTTGGACAGGGGTGGCCGCGTTCCCCTGCCTCTGAGCGGCCAGAAGGAAGGGTGGGCCCCACCTCCCCTCCCACCTACCCTCTCTCCTACACCTTCACCTACCCATCTCCCCTCCCCTACGCTCTCCCCTGCGCCTCACTCTTAGGTGTAAAGACCAGAGGTGTGGACTCGAGTCATGTGACTTGGACTCGAGTCAGACTCGAGTCATGAATTTGATGACTTCAGACTCGACTTGGACTTGCATAACAATGACTTTGTCCCACCTCTGGTAAAGACACAAGCGAAATGCATGAGATGGAGTCTGGGGGGGAGGCACAGGTGGACACCTCAATTTATTTTTACAGATTACAAATGAATTAATTATATGCACCCACGATTCCTAATGTGACGGACAAAGCGAACTCCTGCCCCCCCCCAAATATATAATTCAAACTTCGCCTATGGTGAAATGTAGACATACATGGACGTGTTGTGATCCGATAGAATATAGATGCAGGCAAGATAGAGACGAGAACATCGAATTGCCATTTCTGTCGTCATCATTATTATGAATTAGCTTATATTCGAATTTCGGCTGATATTTGATGCCACCCCTGTTTTTTTGTCATTGATTCGGGGCCTCTTGAACTGCGTCGAAACCCTCCTCGGTTCGCTTGCGTCGAGCGCCGCCCCGGCTGCCCGCTCACTCCCCCCTCCTCGACCTCCTCAACCCGCCCCCACACGACCCCTCCCCACCCGCATCCCCTTCCCCAGATCACCCGCATCGAGGAGATGCCGCCCTTGAAGCTGTGGGAAATATAAATACAGCACAGGATTGCTTGCACTGGGTACATGCATAAGAACGATGTCCTGAAACACAGTGCCTCATTGACTCTCCCGAGTAGTTATAAAGGCTACCAGTCATTGTCACGTTGTGGTAAATGTGGAAATTGGCAAAAAAAATGGGACAAACGCTGAAAAGTGCACGAATAAGCATGGCGAGGTGCACTCTTGGAATTATGCGGAGAGACAGAGGAACACAATGATTAGAGAATGTACGGAAGGTTAGAGAGCTCTTATCTTTCTGTAAGTAGGTTTTGGCAGGACACATCACTAGAAGGCATGAATTGGCCGATGGATGAAGCTAACGACGGAGCCAAAGCAGAGAACATGCGCACGATAGAATGCCCAACGCAGAGGTGGAGAGATGAAATCAGCGTGTGTGCAGGTGCTAGATGGATTGTTGCATCGTAGGAGCATGGGAGATGGTGACGGCTTGGGGTGGTCTTTGTCAAGTAGTGGACTGATCTGGACTGATGATGATGGTAATGAGAGAGTTTAATAATGCAATTAAGAGCTATTTTTGAGGATTGTATAAAAAAAATTTGAAGCACCGCAGAGTGAGTTATTGAGAAGAAAAAAATACTCGTTCCCAAATAATTACACAAAATGTGACCTACTGTTTGCAAAGTGTTTTATGGTGTAACTTTTAAAAAAAAACTAATTTAATAGCATTCAGCAAGCAGTCCTTGGACAGTCGTCCAAGTGCATTCGTGTCTCTGCCAAATCACAGTCGAAAACAAGCAAAGTAAGCGTGTTACCCAAGAGGGCAGGACCTGACAGACATAACAAGAATGAGAGTGCGTGAGCTGTGGACCTAAATTGGCAGAATAAAGCACGATGCAAAGATAACAAATGGCATTTGCTGTTCACAACCCGCAAATGTCAACATCAACAATAATGGGTTTCAACGTTGGTTTCCCATAATAATACTCATGCCAGAAATACAGAGATAAGCAGGATCGCACACGAGAGTGTGTGCATGAAAGTAACAGTATTCGTTTATGCTGTTTAACGCGCCTCTGATTAGCACAGTTGGCTACGTACGGTGCGAAAGAAGTTCAACATACATATATATGCAAACAATGACCAATGTTTGAGGTAGCTGAACACCACATTTTTGGGATTCTGCTACAGCGAATACATGTGGAATTTCACCAAAGCAGGGTTAGGCCTGGATGGTGCTCGAGTGGGCAACCACCATGCAAATAAAATGCGGTTCGAGGCTGCAGGGCGACACGTGGTGGGCAGCAGTGGAGGATGCAGCAAACTCAATTTTTGCTTTGTGCTTCTATTTTTCTCACGCTTATGTTCCCCGCCTTCACCAACCCGTGCTGCACGGCAGGGCGGAGTATGGTCACTATCCCGCAGAACGCCCCTAAACCCAGCAGTGGAGTGACAAAGGGGTGTACATGTGTGCAGCTTTCTATTGAAGGTCCGCATGGTAGATGGAGGGCTAATACATAATAATAAATACAATAATTTCAAGTTGTAATGCACAGTATTCGCTGACAGTTTTCGCTCACTCTCGTAGAGGCGTGAGGAACCACAGACAAACATGCAGGAAGGCAGCCATGCTGTGAGCCGGCGCCAACAATTGCCCACGCTCTGCGGCCCTCTACATATTAAGGCGTTGACGCCAAATTAACGAGTGTTTACACGTGGAAGGAAACCGGTGCACCTGAATAAAACCCACGCGTGCGAGGGGGAAACACCATTCAGACGGAACAGGTGGAGTTCAAATTTGCTGCCCTGCATTCTCCTGTTAAGCCAGGGTATGGCTGGCTCCTCCTCGACACTCACAACTCGGTGATCCCCCTAAACGCTCACCTCTCCACAGGGCTGGATCAGGGGCGGTTTCTTCATTAGGGCGATTGGGCGACGCACCACCAATGTCATTCAACCACAGAGTCACGCTAGCCGTCACTGTGCCTCTGGATATAGTCCAATCAGCGTCATGTCACGTTCTGTGGAGTACCGCCTCTTTTTGGGTGATTTCACTCCGGCTGAGAATCGCCCCGAGTGGCCCCATAGACTTACATTCAAAGATGTTTTTTTTCGAACGGGGGGCGCTGCAATGCATTCTCTATGGCTTCCGGGAGGGCTCGCACTAACGTGCTTACGTCATCATACGTAAGCACGTTTCATCCAACAATATAATTTGTCGCCACCTAGTGGAATCTTTAATAAAAGAAACTTGAGTGGATTGTATTAATAGTGAGTATAGAAACAAACAAGATGTATTGTAAGAGTCACTTTATTTTTCATTAATATTAAAGAAGTGAAGTTGCCTTTACATGCTTAAGCTGTTAATTTATCCATTGCATGGGTGGACCTTATCCTTATCAATCATCCAGACATTTGCCCCCCCTGAGAGATTTTGCAGGAGCGGCCACTGGGCTGGATTACAGGTCGGGTGCATAGCCACCACCGCCCGGCTGTAGGGCACATCCGCGAATACCTAACGCAGCGATTTTGAATGCTTTTCATTCGTGCGTCGCGACGGCCCCCTTCTGTGCCAGGGTGTACGTGCTCGTGGGTTCGGACACGCGCTACTCCACGCACCTGGCCGAGCCCCTGACCCCCGAGAACCGCCTGCGGTGCAGCCAGGAGAGCCAGCTGACCGTGAGCTTTGACCGCAAGTTCGGCTCGCAGTTCCGCGTCGACTGGTGCAAGTTCATACTGGTGAGCGTGAGCAGCGAGCGTTCTCCGCGCTGGGCGACTTGGCAACACCGCACGGATTCTATATCGGTGGTTTTTTCTCAAACGTGTTTTTGGCCCGCGGACCCCAATCAGCCGATTCAAACAATTTTCCGCGGACCACCCAGATAGTGACAAAAAATATTTACCACTAATACTAAATTATTAATTTTAACGGAATATAAAAACATATTTTTTTTAAAAGCAGCTATACTTTTTTAGGGGGTTTGTTGCCAGATAAAAGGGTAAAAAACCAATTATCATATTTGTTACTGGCAAATGAGGTTCCAATGGTGTAAATGCTTACCCCGAGCTTCCATACTCTGATGGTGTATTTTCTTTGAGTTGTGCGCCTTTTGGCGTCATCTGGTCCAACACCATGTGAGACTAGGCTCTAAGGAAAGCTGTCTCGGGTGTGGAACAATCAACTTCAAGGACAGGGCATACATTATCAGAGTTGTGTTTTTTGTTTGCATTATAACTGCAGGTATTGTGGTCTATGCAAACATGACTCCTCGTAAAAAAGGTGTCAGTTTTGTTGCCAGATAAAAGGGTAAAAACCCAATTATCATGTTAGGGTAGTTTAATCAAGTTAGTTTACCTAACTTCTTTTAAAATAAATATCATGTTAATGAATGTCAGAAGCAAAAGGTTACTGTCATTATTTTCGGATCAAACCTGCATTTGCATCACAGCCCGCGGATCAGCTGGAGGATCGTCGCAGACCACTCGGGGTCCGGGGGCCGCACTTTGAGAACCACTGCTCTGTTTTATTCTTGCGCTTGGTAGCAGCAATATGTTCAGAAGCGAAATTCCAACGTCGAGGCTTGCCAGTCACTATAAGAGGGCTTCAGGAGAGGGTTCACGTCGTGTGGTTTCCTGAAAGGTCCACCGCAGAGATGACAACGCAGCTTAGCAGAGACATGCAGCATATCTCGTGCAGCTACGCAGCACAGATTGTCTCTGTCACGCTTAAAAAATACTGAAGTAATGGTGATATAGCTGATGCTGATGATGATGCTGATGAATGATGTGGTAGTGCCATAAGAGTGCTTGTGATTTACATGTGCAGCTTTAAATCATAAGCACTCTTCCTGAACTACTAGAGAATTCATCATCATCAGTGCCATCAGCAGCATCGTCGGATTTGTGAAGGTGGAGAGCATACATTTTGGAATATAGTAAAGTAGAACAATGTATTTTGCTGCACTGCCGTCTGCTGACAACGTATTCCTGAAGTAGCCTACAACACCTGTTTTATGAATGGTGGCCACCCATCCAAACACGATATCCAGGTTAAACTCTGCTTCACTTCAGAGATCTTAGGAGATCGTGTGCATTCCCGGTTCGGTCACTTAAAATGTACAGCATGTGAACTCAATTGAAGAACTGGCTGTATTTGTTCATCATCTTGTCATCAACAGTTGGCATCAGTAATGAAGGCGACCGATATTATAGAGCTGATGGTGGGTGGACAGGAGGGAAGGAACAAGTAAAGTGTCTGAACCAGACTCACCGGTGGTGGCACGATACCCCCCCACCCCACCAATTTGAAATGAAATGTATCCATGCTGATTAATGTTTCAAGAAGAATCACACTCTAAACAACCTTCCTCATGAAAGATGGAGAGAGCCGTGTCCGGGCGACTCCATCCAACGTACTTCATTCCAAAACAATTGCAAGCGACCCCTCAACCCCCGCACACGCCCACACAGATGGACCACTCACTGGACCAGACCAGCGTGGCCAAGGACAACCAGGCCTGGGTGAGCAGCACGAGCCGGGGCCCCCAGGCACCGACGGGAGACGGGGACGCCCCAGCTCAGCCCGCTGTGGACGTGGAGTTTGCACCACCGGGCCTCTCCCTTGAGCGCCGGGACCTGCACTCCGAGTTTGTGCTCACGACCGCCGTGCCGGCTGTGGTTGCCAGCCTTCTCGCTGTGGCTCTCAGCTACCTCATGTGCTGTCGCCGCCAAGGACTGTGAGTCAGGGTGTCTCTTCGTGAGCGGAATCTATATATATAAAATCGCGAATCTGTCTGTCTGTCTGTGTGTGTGTGTGTGTCGCCGGACCATACGCACTTTCATTGGACGCCGGTTGCCCCTGGCAACGGCTAGCGACGCCTTCGCCGCTTTCATTGGACGGCGGTTGCCCCTGGCAACGGCTAGCGACGCCTTCGCCGCGGGCTGCAGTTTCATTGGACGGCGGTTGCCCCTGGCAACGGGTAGCCACGCCTTCGCCGCTTTCATTGGACGGCGGTTGCCCCTGCCAACGGGTAGCGATGCCTTCGCCAACGGCTGGACGCCATTTTTTATTCACGTTAAAAATAGGCGCACGCATTAACACGCGACTCTGACATTAATTCATCACAGTTTCACCTCCTCTTCACTCCCCTCCCACCACAATGTGTTCAATGACTATTATAGGCTCCGCAGATAATTAAATAATAGCGATTACACAGTATTATTTCAGCACGGGGGGGGTGGGGGGAACGCCACCCGTACCCTGCCTCTGCCGGGTGGGCAATTTTGGCGAGGCCGGAGGCTCTGCACGCTACTAGGCCTCGACACCCACCACGCGACTCTGAGGTAAATTCATCAAAGTTTCACGTACTCTTCACTACACCCCCACCACAATGTGTGCAATTAATATTACTTTTAAACCCAACGCGCCAACAATCGATTCTTTAAATGTTGACTGTACAAATAGTCATTAAGCTGGGTGAGTGTACTGCCAGTCTATAATGTACACTGTAGCCTGCTTATTACATTGGGTGACTGTACTGCCAGTCTATAATGTTCACTTTAGCCTGCTTATTAAGCTCGGTGAGCGTACTGCCACTCTATCATGTAGACTCTAGCCTGCTTATGAAGCTGAGTGGGTGTACTGGCAGTCTATAATGTAGACTGTAGCCTGGTTATTATAATCGATTCTTTCAATGTTCTTTGTACAAATAGTCATGAAGCTGCTTGAGCGTACTGGCCGTCTATAATGTACACTGTAGCCTGCTTATTCAGCTGCGTGGGTGTACTGCCAGTCGATCATGTAGACTGTAGCCTGGTTATTAAGTAAAGTTAGTCCATTTGTAACACGTACGCTTTCGAAAACATTTTTCATAAACAACGTTATTGGGTTTTGATCGCCTTATTTATTCATGTGTTGTAACCCTTCTCCACCACCCGACACGCCCAATCTGCAAAAATTTGTCACGTTCATAAAAGACTAAGACTTGACTGCTTTAGCCCACCGGTGTGTTCAAGCGTAAAACCACAACAATTACCATTTCTCATGAAAAAACAACTGTATAATTATGTTTCAACCCCACGCGTCAAGAATGGATTCTTTCAATGTTCATTCTACAAATAGTCATTAAGCTGGCTGAGCGTACTGGCAGTCTATAATGTAGACTGTAGCCTGCTTATTCAGCTCGGTGGGTGTACTGGCAGTCTATCATGTACACTATAGCCTGCTTATTAAGTAAAGTTTGTCAATTTGTAACACGTGGCCTTTCGCGACCATTTATCATAAACAACGTTATTGGCTTTACATCGCCTTATTTATTAATGTGCGGTGAGGGAGGGAGAGCGGTGAGGGAGGGAGAGCGCTGAGGGAGGGAGAGCGGTGAGGGAGGGAGAGCGGTGAGGGAGGGAGAGCGGTGAGGGAGGGAGAGCGGTGAGGGAGGGAGAGCGGTGAGGGAGGGAGAGCGGTGAGGGGAGGGGGGAGGAGAGCGGTGAGGGGGGAGAGCGGTGGGGAGGGAGAGCGGTGAGGGAGGGAAGCGGTGAGGGAGGGAGAGCGGTGAGGAGGGAGAGCGAGGGGAGGGAGAGCGGTGAGGGAGGGAGAGCGGTGAGGGAGGGAGAGCGGTGAGGGGGGAGAGCGGTGAGGGGGAGGAGAGCGGTGAGGGGGGAGAGCGGTGAGGGGGGAGAGCGGTGAGGGAGGGAGAGCGGTGAGGGAGGGAGGGGGGGGGAGAGCGGTGAGGGAGGGAGGGGAGCGGTGAGGGAGAGCGGTGAGGGGGAGAGCGGTGAGGGGGGAGAGCGGTGAGGGGGGAGAGCGGTGAGGGGGGAGAGCGGTGAGGGAGGGAGAGCGGTGAGGGAGGGAGAGCGGTGAGGGAGGGAGCGGTGAGGGAGGGAGAGCGGTGAGGGAGGGAGAGCGGTGAGGGAGGGGAGAGCGGTGAGGGAGGGAGAGCGGTGAGGGGGGGAGAGCGGTGAGGGGGGGAGAGCGGTGAGGGGGGGAGAGCGGTGAGGGGGGGAGAGCGGTGAGGGAGGGAGAGCGGTGAGGGAGGGAGAGCGGTGAGGGAGGGAGAGCAGTGAGGGAGGGAGAGCGGTGAGGGAGGGGGAGCGGTGAGGGAGGGGGAGCGGTGAGGGAGGGAGAGCGGTGAGGGAGGGAGAGCGGTGAGGGAGGGACTCAGCCTCAAAACGAGTCACTGCTGTGGCGTATGAACATCGCCACTGGGGAGACAAAGGCGGCCTAGCGTCGTGGATCCAAGACCCGGGCGAAGCCGGGTAGTAAAGCTAGTAATCTAGAAAATGACCCCCAAAAAGTATCACTGTTCAAGCTCTCCCACCCCCCGCTTGTGTTGCGAGCCAGTCCTTCATACATTGTTGGTCGAGGCCACATCATTTAGATGGAGAGAATTTTGCCAATATCATCTGGTAATTAATCCAGCTGCAGATCGTGTGTGCATTGTTACATCACAGAATAATGAGAGGTGGTGGTGGCTTTGGGAAACCTTCATCCAGCAGTGGATTCGCAATGGCTAATGAGGATCCTAGTAGCATTTGTTTAACAAGCCTGACTGCTGATGAGAGCCACAATGTTGAAACTGGTCCAACATTTTCCTGCCGAATGCTGTTCGATAATATTGGTCTGGAAGTCCAATTAGCTGATGGACTCAAGAATATTTGTATTTACACGTAGAGACACGGAACGGAGTTCTGATTACATATAATTTTACCCTTTAAAATTAGCGTCGCGTATTCCTTCCTGCAGGCACTGATTTAAAATGAGATAGGTTTAATTTCCATCAGGTGTTTATGTGATGATAATTGTGCTGTTCGCTGACACTATTCAGTCGAGCGTGTGTAAAAATACAATTCTGTCTAATGAGATTATTTGGAGCTGTACAGGACCGCATATATGAAAAAAAAATTGTTGGAGGAATGTTTGCACTAAATCTGCAAACACGTGACAAAAATGTAGGTATTTGTTTTACCTTTTTCTCGCGTTGAGGAATGCGTTGCGTTCACCCCTGAGGACCCATACGGAGAATTCCCACAAAGAAAAAAACAAAAGGCATTTAAACAACTTTATTGGAGTTAGGTGTGCACCAACTCGTACAACATTTTATCTTAATCGCTGCTAACATGCATCATTTTTTGTGGTCTGTAATACGTGACGTCTATTTGCACCGATGCTGAACACGGTCGTCAATGACCACTGCCATGAAGAGAACACGAACAATTGGCAACGTTTTGGGCAACGGCCATTCGTCAGAGCCGAGGGCAGAAGACGGGAAATTGCCCAAAACATCATCTTTTAAATAACATTTCCTTTTCAGCGCAGCGTTGTTGACAAACGCGTTGTTGACAAACGCGTTGTGTTTTGTGTTGATCGTGCCTCTGCACGACTAACACACCACTTCGTTTTCCTCTCACTGTTTCTCCCCCCACGAGAAACCTTTCCTAAACGTGTCTCCATTGTAATGGTCTCCTGTGGAGAGCGGGGGCTTAGGCTCTCAGTGGCTGTCGTCTGGCTGTTGGTAAACGTCGATGATGATTGAAAAGTGCTGGGTTATTCCAACTTACATCTGGGCCTTTACTCTTCCCCCCCCCCACCCCAAAGGCAAAAGCAGGAAGTGCAGACGACTGAGTAAGTGGATTTCCTTTCTTTCTTTGGTGAATCACACGCAGTTTGTATGTGTCCAGTTTTTTCAAATTCAACGTAAATATAGTCATTTAAAGCCTTTTTGACAGTCCACTGATAGGTGGATGGTCTCTCCACACCTTTTAGGTCACGGGAGAGGTTCTTTGATTATACTTCAGATATCACTCCTCTAATGTTAGCTGTGGCCAGGAATTTAACTCAGGAACGCCGGGTTCAGAGTGCAGTGCTCTAACCACTGGGCCACCGCCTCCACCCATATTCAATATAACGAATACATAAATAAATCACACTCGCTGGATCCCGCACTCAAAAATGGGGAGTGCCGTTTATTTTCTAACGATCAATCGTTGCACAATGCTTCACACGCAAGTGCGTGCCTTGTGATGTTACCACACCCCGCTACCACCCCCTCTGGCTCTGGAGAATGTGTTTATTTAGTTTTCCTTGAGTTCAGGGATTTCTTTGTTGCGTTGATTCTTCAGGGACCATTACGGGAGAATTTTCACAGAAGATTAAAGAAAAAAATGTGCTAAAGGAGTTTAACAACACAATTTAATAGGGCTGCTGAATGTACAATCCAAGCTCTAAAATAGTTCCATGCAGGCCACGAACCAGATGTTTTGCTTTATTGACCATAAAACACTTTTATGTCTACATCAAATATATTGAAAACACTTTTTGCACTGTATCACTAAATAGCACAATGTATGTCGGGAAGTCGCATTGCAAAGTATTTTTTTTGGAAAACAACTGCCTGTTTTAATGAGGTTCATAGAAAATGTTCGTGTGCCTAACATAGATTCTCAGTGGTGTTCGAAGTACAGTCCGGACTTTTATAAGCTCTCCTGCATGTTTTCAGGTCGCATCACGTATTGTTTGGTATGACGTCCGATGTTTTTCTCCACGTGCTGGGAGAATCTTCAGGAACTGAATTGAGCAGCTCACTGCTGGGAGCGAAACGTCGGACATCACACCGAACACACTTTACAATCCGAAAAAAAATCCCAAACCGCATCGGAGAGTAGGAACGAGCTGCCTAAATGTCAACAAATTAGCAAAACAGAGGAGGTGCTCACCTCCAATTCTGAGACTGTGCAGGAAATCCTCAGCAGATTGCTGGAGGTCACTGACCCCAAACGCTGACCCAGCCTGAGGCATAGCTTTCTCAAAGCTGTCTTGTGACCAAATAAAGCCTTTCGAAAATAGACCAACAGCGAGTGGGGTTATATCGTAATTGACAAGTTGCTTTGCTTGCAATGAGTTAAATGGGTTTTTTCCCTTTCTAAACACAAACCGCAGTTTTGTAAGCAATCTGTGGATCAGAGAAATAAAAAAATACAAAAAGAATGGTCTTCCAGTAGATATGATGAAACTCCAGCCATCGGACCACAAAGGTTTCATGCGTTCAACAAAAAGACGCGTTGCATGAATTTCACATCGCTGCCTGGATCAACATCGGCAATCCACCACTGTCGCCGACACGTCCCCACATCCCCACGTGCCCCCCTTCTCCAGGGAGCAGCTGGTGCAGCAGTGCCGGAGCCGTCACGCCGGCGAGGAGCCACACGTCAGGTCCAAGCAGCGTGACGGGGCCCACCCCATGGCCTCTCTCACGGCGCTCGGCGGCGGCGGCCGCCACAGGGACCGGGGCGGCCCGGGCGTCGTCGGTGCGGTACCCACCCCCCAGAACCTCGACTACGACAGCTACAGTGCCGCGTTCGTGCACCCCCAGGGCCGGTGAGAGGGAGTCCATCGTTGAAACTTTCGTTCGTGACGAACGGCGTGTTGCGAATTGGGAGAATGTCACTTGTCCGTCGACCAGTGACGGCGTATTTGTTCATCGCGAACGGTTCGTGGGCCAAACTCAGCCACAGGTTTAGGGCCCCAAGGTTGGGCAAAATATTATCCCAAACTTATATGTCTAATGACACTTTTAAAAGAGCTTTTATCGTGAGTAGTTTATTCCCTTGTTTTGCACAGTTGTAATATAATTAAATTATGTAGCTGGTCCAGCATGTGTAGTGACGTGATGCACCAAACACAAATATTTTGTTTAAGTGAGCTGGTACCACCAATGATTACAATAACCAATGATCTCATTGCAGGAAGATAAACTTCAGCCTGCGAAGACCGTGCTTGGCTGTCTCCATTGTCCAGTGTGTTGTCGTTTCATTTCTCTTTCATTCAATGTGATTAGAAACATTGAAGGCCAGAGTACAATGCTCAAGTATGGAGTTGTGCTCTTCTCGTCAATCAATCCTTTGAAGGCAATGATTTTCAGACGTTGGCAACTGCTGCCTTTACAGGGATCCGAACAACGCCGTGCTCTCAACCCACAACCTTCAACCAAACTCGTCCAGGTGGAAGGAGACTAGTTTTATGTACGTGCGCACACGATGCTGTAAATCTGTTCACAAATCTCTCCTATGCTTGACACACAGACACGTGCTTAGAAGCAATGTAACCCGTGCAACTCGTGTCTTGCGTGTGGTCACAGAACTCAGGTTGCTCAACACTCGAGCTTGGACAGAGCGAGACCACTGCCTCCTCAGCCTGGTGGCCAAAACTCCTTCTCCAAGTCTCTCAACAACTGCTGTGACTAGAACCGGCACTGCCCATGCAGTGTCTGCAGGTCCACCTTGGGGCCACTTGGCAAGAGGTCCCCAATTCACACTTGGCCAGAGCCAGGGTCTCGACAGTCAGCCAGGTGTGTTGCTTTTAATATGGTTGACTAAGAAAACCTTCTGGTGATTTCTGAAATGCCGCAAAACACAAGTCATTTTAACAAAGTTTTCTTCTAAAATGAGTGTGATTTGTTACCACAGTTCTAATGTGGAACATACCGTTTTTTAATCACCTGGCAAAACACACAGGGACACTTAAATCGCTACAGCTATGTGAGGTGCCAACTAGAATCTGGGATTGTTTTTAAACACATTTGCACATTCATATTTAGACTAATATGTAAGGTGTCACATAATTTGTCTTGTGCAAGTGTTCTCTTACTATGGAATGCCAAATGTATTGTAGTACTGTCATGTGGCTCAGGCTAGGATACGTTTTTTATGCCATCGAGTAGATTCTTGGACTTGGGAGTAATTTTCTTTTTCCAATAAACATCTTGCTGACAAACAAGTGGATCAGTGACACAATTTTACAGAATCGAAAAACGATGCTGATCTCCCAATGAACTTGTGTTGAGATCACAATTGAGGACCATTCATTGTGCCAAATGCCATTCTAACGATTTGTCAAAATAATTGTATGTTTTTTGAAGTGTTTATTTCTCAGTATTTTATAATCATGAAATAATTGCTAAGAGGAGCAATAGGTGTTTGAGGTTTAAATCCCATGTCACAGCAAAGAGTAACCACCTCAAAATTTATATCTTCAATTCCTGGGCTGCTACACATGATCAAGGGCCAGGGTCTTAAACTCTACTATTATTGAACAGTGAAATCTCGAGTTTCAGATTTACCGTGCTTGCAAAAAAAATGTTTTACCTCGGGTTCTTCACCGAGTGACGGCGACGCAATGCTCACGTCGGTAAGTAAAACAATTACTGTAAGAAACAATAAAACATATCATTCAACCCCACTCGGAATAGAATATCAATGATTTTATATCCGAATTTACATGTCTTGAATAATGTTTTTTTTTTTATCTGGGCCACCCCTTCTCATTAAACTGGATACGTGAATTGACCGTCTTTAACGCTTTCCTGTGCTCTGTGGTCATATCTAGCAGGTTCACAGTTCAATAAATAAATTAGCTGTCCGTTTTTTTTAAGGGTAGTATCCCTGGATAGATCACACGAGCCAGAGCAAGGCATTCACTCATCTGCTTGGCTAAATGCAATCGTGAGCTTGTGGTAAAACAGTATGGCCAGTGAAAGATTGTAAGTTCACATGAAGCTGTTCCATAAAGTGCAGTGTGACTGTTTTAGAGACGTCTGAAACTTGATGCCAATGGCATCGTTTTGTGTAAATAAAAAAAGGCAAACAATTATTAAATTGCAGTGTTACTATGCAGTTGTGTAAATGTTGTGACCACTGCCAAATCATATCGACAGTGCAGAAGAAAGCAAGCAATGCATGTGCCTAATAACCATCCAAATAATTTATATTTATGAAGTCTTGTAATGCATTAATACATCAATTTTTTCAACAAAATTGACAATTACAAAATAGCATTTCACACCAAAATCCCAAGTCTATTACAGTAGAGACAAACATGTAATGTATAGTAAACTTAAAAAATCCACCAAGGATAAACGGTTCCCGTTTTCCCCACGTTCACCCAGAGCCAGGTCTTTCTCTCGCATCACCAGACCTGGCACCCATTACATTTCTTCCTCAGATTGCACAAACCACTCTTGATTACCCAACACACACCAAACACCCAACCATCCCATCATTTCACCATTCACCAGCAATGTAACAGTCTTCTCTACGAGACTGGTTCTGTTTGGGAGTTTTTCTCCCACAGTATGAATTCATCTCTATACATAAAATTATTTTACCATTGCAAGAAGATTAAAACAGTTCCCTGTACCTGGGACTCAATGATGAACCTTTCTCTTCATTGGTTTAACTCCTCATAAATTCATATTATTCGAATACAGTTCATATTATTTGAATGACCAGTTTCATATGTAGGATGGACAATAATTGTCAGAGAACGTCTTTTCATATCATGTTGCTCTGGAGAATCTATATCGGCAGGAAAAGCTTAGGGGGATGAAGTCCGCATCTCAGAGGCTGCCAAATGCTGTCAAAATCTCAGAGCTGTGCAGCAGCAGCTTGAGATGACAGTTCCATTTGGCATCAGCAAAGTGACAATATAAGATGTTATTCACTGTTCAGTGCTTTTACAGTCTTCATTAAAACATTCAGTGGATATCCCTGTAAACCAAATGGATAATTAAAAAAGAAATACGTAATGCCGACCTGTTTGTATCAACATGCCACACCAATTACATAAAATCTGTAATTGGCGAGAAAACCCCTTCATAACAGAATAATAGTGCACGCTGGAAAACCATACATTTCAAACAGGATACAAACATTTAAAAAAAAAAATCTGCAGCGCGGAGCATTGGCAAATGTAATTTGCTGATGAGTCCTAATTGTGGTGAAACCGGTCCACAGTTATCACTGCATCAATCCTCCTGTAATTCGGTCAAATTTGTTCGAGTGTATTTTGGTGGTGATCTAAGACAAGGAGACCAACAATGCACTTCTTCGGGAGATGCTGACGGTTTTTTGTTGTTGCATATGCACAACAGCTGCGTGCTTTTGACACCATTGAGTGTCTTGTTTGAAATCCACGACACTACCCAAAACAGATCAAAGGAGAACATTATCCTGAAAGCCTCTGGTGAGATACCCTTGCATTGGCAGTGGGATTTTTTTTCTCACGATTGCCTGAAATGCAAAAGTTGCATGGGTGAACAAAGTTGCTGATCATTTATGAGACCAGGCAATTGGTGCTGCACATTTCAGTGTCGTGGCCATTGACAAAAGTACGTCGAATAGCACAAAAGCGCTCCAATAGGGATTTTACTCCTAACTTTAGCAGTACATGAAAAACACAGGTTGGAGATCTTTTAGTGGAATTAACTATACCACAATGGGCATATTTTTAGGTCAAGCCCCACCTAGAACAGAATTTAAAAGATATAAACCACACCTGTGGAGAGTGCCTCCCTATGCACCTATTCATAAGACCGAGCAGCAATATGAACCTCTCAAGTGCTACAGGTGTTCACGTTTAAAGTTTAAACGTATGAGGTCACAGTCGTGTGTCGTGTCTCTGCTCCGAAAAAAAAAAGTATAAATGTGGCACATTACAGCCGAACGTTTTAAGTTTAAGGAATCACATGGCCCACTGAGATAGGCTGCAGTCCACATGGAGTGATATCGTGTTTGGGGCCAACAGCACTCCCTGTCGATGTCACGCCCCCACCCCCCCACCCCAGAGCTGACACACGCAGCAGCGTGGGTGAACGCTTTCAGCCAATGAGCCGACAGGCGACTGGGCCTCGAACAAATTAAAAGTTTAAGGTGTTGCGGGAGCAAAGCGTTCGAGGTGGTGAGGCCCAGGGTGAGGGTTAAAGAGTCGAGGGGATTGGGAGCGAGCGTTGGTTGGTTGGAAAAGGTATTCACGTCCACACTCGGTTCTGCAACCACTGGAGCAGCAGCAGGAGTCCCAGGGAGATGGCCAGCAGCAGCATGTGCAGGCGGAGCGCCGGCCACTCCTTGGGCACCAGGTGCTGGGCCAGCACGCCTGTGATGGCCGACACCTCGTGCGCCACGCACACGAAGATGAACGTGGTGACGATGGCATTGGGAAGGACCCAGCCGCCTGGCACCAGCACGAGGATGCCGCGCGTGTCCGCCGCCAGCCACACGTGGTACTGGCAGATGAAGAGCTGAGAGTAGCGTTGCAGGGGGATGGTGACGTACAGATTGAGGTAAGGCAATAGAGCGGGGGGGGGGGGGGGTTTGTGGGACAGAGGAAAGAAGGAATCATAAACACATGAGCATTAGGGGACTTGCATCGACAGAAAAATTGTATCATATAATTTTGTAAGTAATGGGTTTAGGCAAAGAGTGGCAAAATATTAAACCAAACTGCTGACAATTAAGGAACATTAAAAAATTACATCTGCACAGCTGTACCGTGAGCTCTTATGGGATCACCTTGTAAAGGAAGTACAGCACAGGCATTTCAAACTGAATGCTGCTGTTAAGGTTTGTTTAATGAACTGTGCAGTGAAGACAACGAGTCAGTGTTGTGTTCTTTTTCCGGACCAGCAGTGCCAATTAAGGTGTATTGTGGAGGTGCGTCCTTCCCACCTCTAAAGAAAATTTCCCGAACCACGCGAAGAAGGTGCTGTACATGGAGCGGGCGTAGCCAGGGATGTTCCGCACGAACACGAATGCGAGGATCTGCATGGCGGCGGGGAGGGGGCGGGGGACACGCGACAATGGCAAATATACATCACAATTCAGCATCGTCGGCCGTGGTCAATCCACTGCTGGATGAAGGCCGCCACACCAAGCCGCCGCCACTGCCTCTCACGATCCTGCGATATAATAATTCACTTAGCCACCTGAACATGAACTAATTGCAAGACGAGGGTGTTTAATTAATATGATTATTTTTGCATTATTGATAATCGCATGGAAAAATGTAAAAACACTGATTATTATAATAATTAGTTTGCCCCACATATCGAAATGTCTAACAATTAAATATAACGCCAGCCCCGTGTGCGTCTTTGTTCGTATACCATGCTGGGGCCTTATAAAGGCTACCATAATGTGGTTTAAACGTTTGCGCATATCACTTGAAAAGTTACTAAACATTTAGAACATTTACTGGAATTTACTTTAACAATTCATGGTGGCGATACATAATTCCACATATGATGATCGAATGACCAACAACATTAATCACAACAGACATCGACTGTGGATGTAAATTGCTCAGATAAAATATTCATGCACTTTTGGGAAATTGCCTCACTGATGGTTCGAACAGAGGATACGTATAACCCGTAAAAACAAAGTTTTTCACTATAAATCCTTTATATGCGTGGCAGCGAACTTAATATAAAGGATTTAAAAATATATTCGCCTGTGGAGGACGCGGGGATCGATCCCGCGACCTTTGGCATGGGAAGCGAGGGCGCTACCAACTGCGCTACTCCGCCACGGCCTGTGGAGGGGTTACGCTCTGGGCTCTTATACTGTGACGTTCAGCCAAAGTGATGAATGAGTTCTATTTGAATATATGTAAAATAAAATTTTTTGCCTAAAAAGTGTAAAATTTTGGGAATTTTTTTTCACGAAAATTCATTGTCACGCACAACGAGTCTGTGTGGAAAATGTCAGCTCGATTGGATCACGGGAAGTGGGTTAAAAAACGACCGAAAGATTTGCACGGTCGTAAGCAAGCAAGCAAGCACGCAAGCAAGCACGCAAGCAAGCAAGCGAACTTAATATAAAGGATTTAATAATGAGGTCTAATTTTCTGAACGTGACTGGCTCAACTAGTCAACTTACAAAGCAAGAGGTTACGCGACTATTTTCATTCAGCAAGTTATTCATTGCTGTAAAAAATGTGCCGACGCAATGCAAGATTCAACGCACTGCTGCCTACCCTGTTATACATGCGGCATATTATTTCATTGGTCACACATACTTAGACACATTTTTTTTTTTTGCAGTGTAAGCAGGACCCAGTGGTTGCAGGTGAATATGCCACGGTGGCTGCACATTGACAAGAGACATTTTATTTGACCAAGACTGATACAAAACTGTGTGCATGTGCATTAAGAGTAACATCGCAGCTGTCACTATACTGCCATCTGCTGCAGGATATGAAAATTTTCCGCACAAGCAATGCTGGCAAGCCACTGCTCAACCATCTTTTACGCATGCTCCACTTGTTATGTGGGTAAGTTGTTAATCCAGTGGCAGATCGAGGATCGTATCGGTGACTGGTGTGGAGGCATGTGGGGAGTGGTTGGTGTTGGGGGTGGGTGCATTGCTGGTGACGTACATGCACCAGAGAAGTGTAGGGATGAATCTGGTTGCACTCAGCCTTGCTGCTGCATCGCGACGACCAGACCGTGTAGCCCTGTGTGGCCACAACGTGGAATAAAATGTCAATCGCCAAGAATTATAAGGGGTTTGAGGCTATAATAACGGAGATGCATAATGAACGGGAATAAATCTACCATCGTCGCAAAAAATGTTATTCTTTGAAGCTTTAAGAAAATGCACACGAGCCATGATACAAACACACACCGGGCAATCACCGGAGGGGAAGAAAACACAGTGGGTAAAGAATACATTTCTCGAATTAAATCTTTTGGAGCAGGTACAGGCCAGAGCTGAGTAATCTCCTAAAAAGTACGAGGCATGTCTAGTACGAAAGATGCGTTTGCACGTGACTGCATTCATGGCCAATGCAATAGTGGCAGTTGGAAGTAGAATAGCAATCAAAAATTAGGTAAAGGTTTACAATGACAAGTTTTTAAGATGAATAATTATTTTAGTAATTTCAACTGGTTATGAGTACCGTATAAAACTGCACATTCGTCAATAACATTGCCGTAAAATAAAATATATATAACGGGCGACATATCGGACAGTTGCTCTTCTTCATGGCAAATTTTTTTATTAAGCTGAGGAATGTATTGGGTTTTTGTTCGTTGTGCTTGTACACCACTGCCAAAAGAGCATCATCAAACAACGGTAGTGGTTGATATCTCTCCAGCGTGTCCGGGTCGTACTCTACGTGGGTGAGAACCTCTGAGGTCCTGAAGAAGCTCCTAGCACGTGGGGCAAAACTTTGGACATTAATGCCGAACAACACGTGGTGAAACCCAATAAAACACATCAGGAGAAATAATGAGGATCACATCCCATCACACACATTACTGTGCACTGCTCTTCTTCGGACATCTAATTTAACTCAAATTTTTCCGCTCGCCACAATTTTACTGTACTCTCACCGCAAGGGTCCGGCGAATGAGTGCGGCAGTGCCACGCTATTTACCACGATGGTGGAGATACAGAAGAAGAGCAGCACGGTCGACAGCCACCGGGGGAAGAGCGACTCGAGGTTGGCCTCGTTGATCCAGCCGCGTCGCTTCATCATCAGGTACGCAAACGCAAACAGCATTCCGAAGAGCACCGCCTGGGGACCATGGAGCGGGTTACAAGGGGGCTGGCTTCCCCCCCCCCCCCCCGCCACCTTCCTGCGTGCCCCAGCAACACTCTCAACCTAACGACGCGCTTCATCAGAAGCATCGGAAGCATCGGTTCGCGTCGTCAATCACGGACATCGAGACATTAAAGCTGGTGCGGAGATGCCAACGAAACGGAAACCATGGCGGCCGTCCCGGCGCGTCGCTTACAAATCGGTCAAGCTGGCAGCGGAACCACCACTCGTGCAGACTGCCCTGCAGCATGAACAGCTCCGACACCGGCCACACCACAAACAGGCCCTCAAACACCTCCTGCGTGATGAAGGGGGGGGAAGTCGCACAAAACGAGAAACATCATTGGGCAAATTTAATTTCATACGCGAATCATGTTTAGCTTCTTTTTCACATGCTGGTTTCCTGCTATAAGTTTTACCCACCAAGCAACATAGCAGGAGGCTGTTTCTTCCTGACCTGCTTTTTTGCTTTAACCATCTACATGGCAGGGGCTCGGTCCCATTAGCAGCAGCCGCACTTTAACAACTCTGGCACCCCCCCTCTCAGCCAGTCTACATAACAAAGGCTCAGTCCTTTGTTATGTAGACTAGCCGTAGCTTCAGCCGCACCAACCTTACCATAATAATAAAAAACTCCTATCCAGGGGCCTGCCCTGGCTCCTCCCCCCTTAACCAGTATATATACGGGGTCGGTTCTCTTGGAATTTCTCATTTACTTGATACAGCGAGCGTGCTGTGTCGGTTCCACCTGAAGACGGAGGCTTGTGTTGCCTCCGAAACGTCGTGATTTTTATCTTATTTTTATTTTACTTTTATTAATTACATTTTTTACCTACGTGACTTTACCGAAAAAACCCAAGAATATTCATGAGTATGCATAGATTTTAGCGGTTGCGCTGGATAGCACTCTGATGTGTTATTGGGTCGGACCGTGAGTTGTTCGGCACGATATCTGACGTTTCTCTCCACGTGGCGGGAATATAGTTCCCACCAAAACTCCCAGCACATGGAGCGTCATGTTAGGGCATCATGGTGAACAACGTGCTGAGAGCAGTATATACAGAGTTAAACGAGAGACCGTGCAGAACACGAGATGATGATGCACCGGTCACAACATTTTATATAGAGCTTGGTCCAAACCAGCTATTGTACTACCACCGTACCTGGGAAAGGGCAAGCAACACTATGCAGGTACACAGCATCAGCAACTTGAGCACCATCAGCAATTTCCAGTACACGCTACCTGCAGGCACACCGACAGTGGACAGTGGATTACCATCAGAAAAGCACTCGACCTCAGAAAAATCCAACATCAAGCCCCTGTACTGCGTAGGATTTCGCGGCCGTGCTGTATAGGCATACTTCTTACAGCGCTGCCTCTGATAATGCTCTTTCATTGTAATTCATATATGGAATAAAGTAGGAGTGACGTTGCCCATGGGGCGTGGCATTGCCCATATATGGTCTTGTGGAACCTAAATCGAAGTGTCTATTGAATTGATTCTGCTCATAGTCGATCCGATGGCCAAGTAAGAGTATCGATTCATCGAGGGCTGATCACTGCGTTGAATCATTGGCGATCCACGGATAAAGTAATCCCACTGGCTAGTACAGCTTTCCACAGAATGTGTGTTTAATGCAGACGGTGGTTAATCTTGCACAAGCTCCGACCGAATGCACTGGCGAGTACAGAACTTATTGTATTTTTATGTCATTCTCATTAAAAGTTATTATTTTCATAAAAATCGCTTGATACATTTATCATGTGTAAAGTATTATTATTAAGGCTATTACCGATACCCCAATGAAGCCCTCATATATATTGCGAATAGGTAAAAAATAGCGCTTTTGGTAACGCATCTCCATTCGAACCATGTTATAATTACCTCCTATAGCGCTATTTCGTATAGCGCTCTGTTTACCAAGAACGCATCCTGAGCACTATAAGAGGTATGCCTGCATTGCTCTCCGATGTGGATTTGAGTTGTGATTCGTGTTGTTCAGCACAATATCTGACGTTTGGCTCCACATACTTGGAGCTTCTTTATAAAACTCAGAACTCGGTTCCTTCTTCAGTTCCTGAATAAGCTCCCAGTTACGAGCCAAGAGGATTTCATCTTCACCATTAGCATCATGGTGAAGATGAAGCATCTTCTTGCATACCAGGCAAGGTAGGTAACATCTCGCTATAGTGACGAGAAGTTAACTAGCTTGCCTGGTATGCAGGAAGTTGTGGGTTTGATCCCGCCTGTATATTTGGAGTTTGCATGTTCTCCCCGTGGACGTGTGCATTTTTTTCTTAGTACTCTGGTTTTTCCCTCCACATTTAGAAACGTGTTTAGAGTATTTGGCTGCCATCAATTTGCACGTGATAAGCTGCTTCGTTGACCTATCAGTTGTGGCCAGGTCACTTGTTAACAAGTATAACCCGTAAAAACAAAGTTTTTCACTATAAATCCTTTATATGCGTGGCGGCTAGAGTCCTCTCGTCCTCTGGCTTGAGATGGCTGCCACCTATGGGTCAGATGATTGCATGGCACCATTAAGCAATTGGTAATTAAATATAATATTTTTGTCCTAAAAAGTGTAAAATTTGGGAAAAAAAATTTCACGAACATTAATTGTCACGCACAACGAGTCTGTGTGGAAAATGTCAGCTCGATTGGATCACGGGAAGTGGGTTAAAAAACGACCGAAAGATTTGCACGGTCCTAAGCAAGCAAGCAAGCGAACTTAATATAAAGGATTTAAAAAGAGCTATAATAGCTCAGTGGGCCTTACCTGGTGAATAAAATAGAACTGTAAATGTTGTGGTTTACTCTCCAACACACCGGTATGCTGAACTAGTAACTCATTGGCATTTTTTTCTTGCATGAGAAACTTTACAAACTGGCTGTGGTGGCGGGTTTAACGACACATTTATATTTACGTGATCCAACCCAAAAAATCTCTATTATGGATATTGGTTTCGAAATCCTAGGTGTTAAACAGTTTAGTTTAAGTTTAGTTTAATCAAGGTCTCCTCATCTTCCTGCACAAATACATGTTACCACATGTACACACCCCAGTGAGCGGGTCTTACTTTCACCATCCTTGGCGGTAATCCTGGGAGGCACAGCGAGTGTTCCATACATCACCAGGAACCAGAACGAGACGAGTGGAACGAAGTAGTAGAACTGGTAGTGATGGTCCATGACCAGGCACAGCAGCACCGTCAGAAAGTTCATCCGGAACATCACCTGCAGCAGCAGCAAACTCAGAAGATCATAATCTTCACAATATCAGAATCTTAATTAAGAAGATCAGAATCTTTATTTAGACTGGAGGAGTCCAATGAGCTATGAAGCTCTTTTTCACAAATGTCCAGTAGAGGCAAGTCAGAAGGTTACAACAAATTGTTCAAGATAGAACAGATTTTCAAATCATACTTCCTCCAGCTACAGACAAACTATTTATGTAAAGATGTGTGTATTTCTCTTCGTGCAATTCCCAATTATATTTTTCCCCAATTATATTCTAGCTGTGCTAATGGAGTCATGTCAAGAGATGAGGATTTTATTCCATTTAAAACCATTGTGGAAAGCAGTGCATCGCCACATGCTAAGGAACGACTTGTGGAAGGATTGCATCACAGATTATGGACAAAGATAAAGCAGAAGCTGCATTGAACGTGAACAAATACTTTACTGTGCTTTAGAAGTGCGATATTCACAACATGTTATTGTATATGCAATGGTCAAATTTGCCAATATATATGGACAATGAAAGTTACACCAAGCACAAATATCGTACTGGCTATGGGGGGGTTATTTGGTTCGGGCGGACATGTGACCGCTGGATATGCAACATTGTGCTGCGCGCTCTAATGACGAGTGAAGGCATTGTGGCTTGAGGCCTGAAACCATACCTGACAGACGCGGAAGAGGCCAAAGTCTCCCTTGGCCCAAAAGAAAGAGAAGTGTCCATAGCCCGTCTGGAAGAGGTAGGCAGCGACGAGCAGCCGCACGTGCAGGTATACGGGCAGGAACTAGAGCGACAGAGAGTGCTCATTGCACCACACAGTCGCGACAAACTCTGTTCATTCAAATGTCCAGAAAACATGATTCCAGTTGAGGAAATGAATTGTTCAGGCACCCAGCACGTGGAAGGGGAAACGTCAGACACCGTGCTGAACAACAGGCAGGAGGACCCAAGAACACATCTGAGAGCCATACAGCACGACCCCTTTCGCGGCAGTACGAGTCCGTTTTATAGAGCAATACAGTCTTAAGTTACGTTAGCAGATTTTTCTTTTCTCTCTTAAGTTAGACGTTCCTCAATGATCTTTCAATGTTTTTCACAACAAACACATAAGCATACAAATGCAAAGACACATCAGTTGCATCTACTGTCTGTTATATTAATGTTTTCTATGTGAAACATTACAAATATTATAAACTTGGTTTATGAGTAAAATGCTTTACGCGTGATTCACTGTTTAACGTTGGGTTTTTCCCACAATTAGCTGTTTTACTATTTTCACAGATTAAAATGTCTGTTTTGTCTACACATTCTACTGCAATAATAATCGGCGGTGGCGAGCGGCATTGAGCTGTAGTGCACGCTGCCCTTCACCCAGCATGCGTCAGTGTGGCTCAGTCTTCTCACCGAGCTGGCGCCCGAAAAGTGGTAAATGAGGATGATGAGCTGCATCCAGCCCTTCCACTCCTCTGTCTGGTCGCGGTTTAACAACACTGTCTGCAGGGTGCAAGCAAAGCAAGGGCACACGGCATTACGCAATAAGTGTCAAATTGAAAACAAGTATATACGTCAATAACAAGACATCACACCCCAGTCCTCCAATCACTCTGCTGGCTCCGCAATCCAATCTCAGATCAATTTCAAGATCATACTCACCGTCTTCACAATCTTCCATGGATTCACGTCTACCTATCTCTCCCCTGTCATTCCACTATACTGCCCTCCACGCACACTCCAGTCCAGCAAACAAGGCCCAATAGCAGGTCTCTCATTTTCTGCTGCTGCTCCCATTGTCTTGAACTCCCTTCCCCTGTTTAAGTCCAGGATAAAGATCTTCCCCCCTTTTTCCCTCTGCCTATGAATGCCTGTCCCGCTATATGGAATAAATTCGCCCAATGATTTTGATGCAGTTGCATTGACAAGCTAAGTAATTCCATATTGCATTGTAAGTAGATGATATTGCATTGCAAGGAGGACGTTATTTACATCTTTAGTTTCCTTGCTGAAGTACCAGCCGAGGACCATGATCACAGCAAGCGGCACAAAGAAGAGTGAGTGGTGGTAGTCCTTGTGCTCTTTGTAGAACCAGTTGGCGCGGTCACAGAGGTAGAAGTAGGCCATGATGAAGCCCAGCTTAGTGAGTGAGGCCAGTACTTCCTCGGCCGCCCCTCTTTTGACAGGATGGCTGGCTTCCAGCTGTGACAGCAAGACGACATTGAGGTGGGGACAAATAAATTTGACAATTAGAGATGTGTGTACCAAAGCAGTTATAATGGCAAAGATATACGTCCGACTAAATACATCCAAATAAACTGCCATGATGCAATTACAGGTCACAATATATTTTTGTGACGAATCTTTACCGAGTTTCATCGCTCTATTTCTGTATTAACATGCTTATCCAATTCCATTGAAAAGACACTTACATTTGTGAGGAAGCTAGAGTTTGCAAAAAAAGAGTTCAAATTCATTCGTTTAACTACCCTTTCCTGGTGACCCCGAAAACCCAGCAGGTTTGGGAGTTGTATAAATCTGCATGATCAACTAACCCTTGCCTCAAAAGCGCTGGATTGCTGGCATGCATAAACCATGCGCAGTTAACGAATTCATATAATTAAGAATGACCTTTATTTATCACAAGTTGTTGGAGATTTAGTAAAGCACCACGTTTATTATGGGAGCCTCAATCAAGATTCACAATAAGATGGCGGCCCCTCCTTCAACCACCCCCACTCACAGCCACCCACACAGTAAACAGCTATTCTTTTCCTGACATTTACCCTGCCTCCTACGGCAAGACCCCACCTACTCCTCTGTCAACCTTGCCGACTTCTCAAGCAGTTCCGCCCTTTGCTTATATCACGAGCTGGGCAATATGCCAAACAAAGTTTAATCGCAAACAAAAGTGCCGATTGTCGCAAATGTTTCAGTACACAGGTAAAATCTTCTTGAAACCAAGACAATCCCGCCCAAATGAGAACATTTAGTAACTTTAGAGGTGAGCATCAAGGAGTGGGTTTTTCAGCATTACTACAGTGGCCATCCTCCTGCATGTGGCCCCAAAGGTGGGAAACCCACTTTCAAATCATTTATATGACCCACACTAGCATCACCGAAACACATCCACCAAACAAACGAGTCCAGGGCCGGGTACCTTCTCTATGACGGGCGGAGTATCGGCGACCAAAGCAGTCTCCACGTCTTCCTGCGGAGGTGGCGGTGGAGGCGTAGAGGCTCGGCGTACGCACGTGGCCGCCCAGGCGACCGCGAAGCCCAGGAAACAGAGGGCAGTGATGGCCTGGATGAGCGTGGGGTCGCGCTGAATGGAGCAGCACGAGCCGTCGAGCGGGCGCACGTCGCGGTTGCAGTGCGAGTTGAGGATGAGCGACGACACCTTTCGGCGGTCAACAACGGCAGCAAGGTTGGCCCGTGTGAGTCCTTTTTGGTTTTTTTACAGACTCAAAGGCTGGTTTTGACCAGAAGGAACCAAGGTTGTGATTTGCTATGAATGACGAGCTGTCTACAACCTAGGTATATAAATAACTAAATAAAGCCTGACCAATGATTTTCACAATAAAAGCAATAAGTGTAAGTGTGCTTGGAAGGGGCATGTACACTAGAAAAGATGATGGCTGGTAGTCAAGACGAAACATAGAGTAGCAGCCAAAGGAGGGAACACAACTGGGATGACGTGCACTGGAGGGACAGAGCGGTGAAATGAGCTCGTGAGCAGGTGCCTGGTGAATTGTTACATCGCAGGATTGTAAGGGATGGCGATGGTTTGAGAAGGCCTTCATCCAGCAGTACTATGATCATGGCTGACGACGACGATGATGATGATGAATCGCAATGAGCAGTAGTGCTGCCTGGCTGACAAAGTGGCAAACTTCACCCAAAGTAAAATTGATCAAGTGGTGGAGGGCAAAGCCTAGCAAGGCTTTCAGATCACTCATCATATGCAATTTTACTGAATTTTACTAAGTTTGAAAAGAAAGCTACTGTCTGTAGCAAAAGTTAGTCTATTTGCATGTCATGTGTGATAGGGTAAAGTTTCAGTACTTCCACCTCTTCCAAGATGGAAGAGTAGGCCAAATATGCATTATAGGTGCCCTCCAAAGCTCTATTTATTGAAAAGCTTAATTCCAGCAGTTGGCATGAGCAAGAAATTGTAGGGCTGCACCTTTACCTTTAGGTGTAGAACAAGCTGATACCAAGTAGTGATAATACACTTGATATGACAATGACGCATCGAAGGGTGGTTACTCACAATGCTGCGTGCAGCGTCAGGAATGTGCAGCCCATCATCCGAGAGGTGCAAGTAGTGCTGCGCCACCTGCCTGGAGGCCTTCATGATCCGCACGGGGCTGCCCTCAAGCACACTCATGGTCACGTCGTTGTATTTCTCCACGGCACGATTGGTGATGAGCTTCCTACTCGAGTGCAGCTTGGCCTCATCGACCGGGTCTTTGCAGGCAAGAAAAGCAGGACAGAGGAAGCAGCAGTTAAACCCTTGACTTGGCGTTTCCCCGAGTCAGCTATTTTATTCTGAACGCTGCCCCGAAATTGTGGCTAATTACCTAAATGCACCATCTGCTGCAAAGTAGACGTCAAAGAGTGAAATGAAGAAAACATTCCACAAATAACAATATTCACCCTCTCCTCTGACCCAATTGTTTGTATCACCCTTAAGGTTAATCTAGGGATGCCAAGAGGTGGGGGGGGGGGGAGTAAATTGGCCAATTTTCCCCAGGCCTCACACACGAGGGCCCCATGTCATACCTATTTTTTGTCGCACGTAAAAAACAAGACCCCATGTGGAATTTTTCCCCGGGTCTCTAGCCCTGGGCCAGTAGGAACCTCTGGGCAGTCCTGGATTTACTACCTACCTTACAGCCCATTGTGAATCCACTTGTAAACAAAGGGTTGCCTATAAAGTGTCAAGCGTGCTGCCTTCAAGAAACTGCATGCCCTCACCAGTGAGGTGAACTATAGTCAAACAATCCTACGGTGTACCTTTTTGAATGCATTCCTTTATGATAAAATAGCTCAGCAAGCACACACACACCCATAAAACCCAATTTGTACCAACCCTGCAGGACCCAGATGACATCCCTGTGCTTGTGCGACGCTCGGGTGACGTTGATCATGTGCGATTTCAGCTTCCTCAGCTCCCGTTGATACAGCACCAAGCCCTCCTCCTTATCCCCCGTCAGCTTAATGGCCCACTGTTGTAGAGGCACAAAGAAACACAAGTGAAAATACAACACTTGTTTTGGAGATCCATCTTGCGTATCCATAAAAAGTTTGACTTCATTGCAGTGCTCCATACAAAATAACTAGGGGATGCTCAAAATTCAGTTATCAATTGGACGGCTTGCAGTGGCCGAGCGTGGCTGGTATGGGCCCTGGTGCAAGGAATCAAATGGGGCCACCGCCCTTGGCCAATGTCCCACCCAACCCATTTCCTAGTGTGGAACCTGGGAGCTCTTGGCCTGTGGATCTGTTGCAGTCTCACCGCCTGCACGATTGATAGCTACGTGACTTCTGGGTTTAAAATGGTTTAGTTTCATCCAGTGCAATGCCCGGACAATTTTGGTACCAAAAAAATCTTGCAATTAACCCTATATATGCTGCAATGTTAAACCCCATGTGTCTATTTAGATCCATTACTTTTTTCCAGTACATCACACATTCAAATTCGTGCAAGACATTAACGCTTACCGTGGCAGCACCCATAACGATGACATCGGGCGTAATCTCATTCGGCTGTGAGCACAACAAGGAGTAAGAAAACGTAGATAATTTGCGAGAATTTTTTTTACAAACTGTCGTTTATAATTGCTTGATATTGTTCATAACTGGCATCATAAGCATGGCACATTCTAGCAGTGAAAAGACAACGGTCACTATTATACCCTTCTGCAAATGCATTATAATTAATTAAATTCCAGGGGGTAGATACTGCACATGGCTTTCAATAATGAAACGGAGCGGCAGCCAAAGGAGGGAACCGCAGATGGAGGGATGCAGTCAGCTCGTGTAAAGGTGAGAGCTAACAAGGACACGGAACCAGGTAGACAGTGGACAGACCATTTCTGAGTACGAAGATGAATACGATCAGCTGAATGCGATTATTTTTCCAGGTTCACCAAAACCATCCCACATATGGTTAGAGTTAAAAAGCCAATACCCCTAAGGTACTTAAACAACGTTTATGTATTTAAGTCGTCCACGTAAGCGCTAAGCTCAACCTGAAATACCGGAATGTTTTGTGCAGATCATTTCGCATGGAAGCTGCAATGCTGGTACGTTTGCGTTTTAGAAGTGACGAAATTTCCAACTCCAATTATTCATGAAAAAATACAACTTTTTTTCGTCACACTCCAATGACTTTAAGTCCATAAACACCAATAACAAAAATTCACATTCGACAATAACAATGCTTGAGCAAAAAAACATAATAGGTGACGTTTGTTTCAGGCAATGGCTCCTCCTCTCTCCCAATTGCATTCTGCTATGAAGCAGGATCATTGCCTGAAGTGTTGCCTATTATATATTTTTTTAGATTTAGAGCAGTGTCATTGACGAACGAACATGTTACAATTTTAGTCGCCAAAAAGCGTGATCATTTTTTGTTTTAATACGGCACACACCTAGACATGTTGTTACTCTTTGTACTGCATGCGTATCCGTACATCATTTGTCTCGTAGGCCACGAAATTACGTAATGCTACAACAGCTATGGAATTTATGAGGATCATATTTGCATTCAGTTTCTGGTATAATTTAGGCACAATGGGTGGGTCTGTGTTCATATAGATTGCACCTGACTGTCATGCACTGATTGTAACGTTTAATATATTTCATGGTTTCTCATGGTGATCAGGGGCGTCACGATTCACCACCGCCACTTGTGATCCAATCAACAGTCTCGATTCGGAGTCGGGATTTGATCAGTTTAACACGTAGGTTTTCACGACCAATATCATCCATAATATAGGTTTTTTTTGGGTTAGATCGCGTAAAAATATAAATGTGTCGTTAAACCCGCCACCACCCGACACAGCCAATTAGTAAGGTTTGTCACGCAAACAGAACATGCCAATTCGTTACTAGTACAGCACACCGGTGTGTTGAGGAGCAAATCCACAACATTATCAATCTGAGTACGACGTTTGCCCAGTAATTGCAACTAGCTTCATCAGGCGACAGCCAGATTTGAGGACAAATCCTCCTGTTTCGTTCCTTAAATAGAGGGATAGATGTGAAGACGTCACTTGTGAGTCCTTCTTGTGCGAAGTATGAATATTACATTTACACTCGTGGTAAGTGTATCAGCCTATAGTTGTTTGAGAGGATCACGGAAAAGTATTAAATGCCAAGAATGCAAAATAGCATAAAGCCATTTTATCAATCCACTGCTGGATGAAGGTCTCCCCTCGTCTCTCGGTCACGCCGGATGTTTTAGTCGAAGTTCTGGTCAGTGTGAAGTTGGTGACGGTGGTACCCAGGTCCAGATATGACTCGCCACTGATGTTAGCTATAACCTGGATTCAAACTTAAGTCTCTGGGTTCATAAACCACCATCACAAGATGCTCATGAAATAGAGCCTAGCAGCTCAGTGGTGAGCTAGGGCGCTCACCACTGCCTCATTGTTCCAACCTAATGTTTATCATTTCCTCGCGAGATTAAACATTTTCCAAAAATAACACAAATCTAAAAATATTGCTTCTTACACACGTCAATCGCTGCACATCTCGCACACTAAAAAGTTGTTTTTAATCGATCAACTGATGCATCATTACTCCCTTACAGCGATGAAGCTAAAAAAATCAGGCCACAAGGACGAGCAAGAGGAACTTCACAAGAGCAAGACTTCAGTTGCAGAGTAAACGGAGGAGAAATCCCAGTGTTTGATGAGCACAGCCGTTTCTCGATACGGAAAAAAAACAACGTTTAAAACGCCCAACCCTTAAAACCAAAACACAACCTCAAAATTAACAACGCAGCTTACAAACATTATTTCCGTCCATGCAGTCTCTGCCGAAATGTAATTTATTCATCCATTATGCTATATTTTCAGGTTATAATGGTGACGTTAGTACAAATTGGCAGCCGTGAATTATTCATCCCCTAAAGCGGTTACTCTGATCTGAAAAGCAATCCCAACCTGTTACTGTCAAAGAAACTGTTGTCTGCCACTGTTAATGTTAGCTACGTAATTTTGCCAAGGTGGGAAAAAAAAGTCAAACTATGATGCTGCATGATGAACTTAATTCGCACTGTACGTAGCGAATAGTGCTAATCCGAGGTGGGCAGTGGTTAGCCCACCGTGTTTTGAACCCGGTGACCCTGAGTCTGATTCCCGGCTACGGCAAACATTAGTGGTATCTAAATAGACCCTGGGCACCCGACAACCTTAACTGACATTCATAGTTAAGTATGCTTTAACAGCCCCCAACTATTGCCATAGGCATGGGGAGTACTTCACTAAGCAGTAGATTGAGGATGAGTGGCAAGTGATATATGAACTAGTGTTGGGAGATGGTCCCCCACCACCCACCTGTTTCACTGACTGCATTAACCAGCGTGTTCAAGTAGGTCAAACAACCCTGGTGGCCAAAAAGTAGATGTGGAGGCCTTCCATCAGTGGATTGACAAAAGTCTGAAAAATTAATATGATTTAATCTATTACAAACCAATAAGTTTGAAATTATAGTAAGGGTGTTTCTGCAGCAGCGCTACAAACACAGTGGTTTATGTTGACACAGGGATCTTAGCTACAAGTGCTCCCCATTCATTAATAGCTGGAGTCAACTATTTTTTTCACAAGATGTTGTTATGTGTTGTTAAGTGCCACTTGCCATCTTCCAAGAAGCAAAGTGCTTTGTCATGGATTCACCGACATCTGGAGCCCATAAAAAATCCTGGAGGAGTCAGAAAAAAATATATTTTACAGTGTGTGAACATGTAACAAGTATAACCCGTAAAAACAAAGTTTTTCACTATAAATCCTTTATATGCGTGGCGGCTAGAGTCCTCTCGTCCTCTGGCTTGAGATGGCTGCCACCTATGGGTCAGATGATTGCATGCCACCATTAAGCAATTGGTAATTAAATATAATATTTTTGCCTAAAAAGTGTAAAATTTTGGAGAAAAAAAATTTCACGAACATTAATTGTCACGCACGAGTCTGTGTGGAAAATGTCAGCTCGATTGGATCACGGGAAGTGGGTTAAAAAACGACCGCAATATTTACACGATCGTAAGCAAGCAAGCAAGCGAACTTAATATAAAGGATTTAAAAATTAACACGTGTACATAACATTCTTTAAATAAAACGTAAAAACCATTTTGTTCTGCAAGGAAAAGGATTCAATAGAACAATGTTCAACTCACCACTTTTATAAATGGGTTACTTTCACGGTATTGAATATCTTGCCACTGCAATAAACAAAAAAACATTTTTTTAGAAATACACATTCATTGCAACTTACAATCGATTACCATGCTATATATTCATATTGTTTACGCACTGTACTAATTTCGAATAAACAGGAATGCAACAAACATTTTAACAAAAAGTTGCTTAAACAAACGTAAGAACTACTGTAAACTTCCTGAGATATTTAGGACCGCACCAGTGATTCATTCAACTGCATGTTTTATTTCACGCATATCATACAAACGTATCACTCTGCAGATAGCTTACAGATGACAATCATTGTAGATGAACGGACGACCTAGATCACTGAACTACAATAAAAAAAATGGAGAGCCAAAGACAACGGCAGTCTGTGAATCATATACAAACTAGAATAATAAAACCGTTGAATAGTACGGGAAGCCAAGTGGGTGCCGTCAAGGCCACAGGTTATCATCTCTGTACCTTGGCCCCGTTTGGAGGTGTGGGCGTCAGGAATTTGAGGTAGCTTTGATACAGCATGCGGATTCGTGAGTCGCCCATGAAAACGACATACTTCTCCTCGAGACACTCCTTCACCTCCCTGCCACATACGTACAGATGTGTACAAAACAAAGACAGATCAGCAGATAAAAGACAGCAAGCGCTGTCAGCGAGCACACACGAAGAGCAGGACGGCACACGTGCGGGTGGGTGGCCAGCACCACTGCTCAAGTCGCCTTCGACGCACCAGGTACTCATATGAAGCCAAGTCAAGCCCAGGGGAGGCCCATTACCGGTTCATATAATCCGTCATTAGTGTTGGCCATGAGCAGGTATATAATTCGGGTCACCGGATTCACAGCGAAGTGCACTAACTTCTACACTACCGCTCCCCACAAATGTGGACACAGGCATGAAAACACACACATCTATCGGTCTCAGGGATTTAAACGGTGAACGTTTCAGCCAATTTTTGGGATTTGTTTATGTAGCCTAACAATTTTTTGCAAATACACCCATTTAGTGTGCTGACTGATTACATCGGAAGACGAATGCTGAGTGCATTGCGCTATGAAGGCGGAGACCCGAGTTTGATCCCTGGCTATGGCCAACACCACCAACTGACCAGCATGGTGAAGTATGGTCATGCAACCCGCTATGACCGACATGATGTGGGAATGCCTTCTTCCAGCCGTGCATCGACAAAGGACCGTACGTTACAGTTATTTACGAAACGAAATGCACAAAACACATTTTGGAAATTGCACCGACACCGACATTGATCTGTCCGGGCTCAACTTCTCGGCGTGACAAGGACACGCTGCTCCGTGTACCTCTGCGTGTAGTGATGCACCATGCAACCCTCGGGTTGCCACATCCCGTTGCTCAGGTGACGTCCGCTGCTGAACAGACTCTCGCAGCTGCTGCTCCCTGGGCATTCGTAAAGCAGCAGCAGCAGGAAGAAGAAGAAAAGTTGAGAAATTAATTCGGCAAACACACCGGAACTCCTCTTTATCCGGAACCCCACGACTTATTATCCGTGGATGCTGTATGGTCCCGCAGCAAACGCCCGTCATCAAAACTCCTGTCCTTCCTATTATCCGCAAACTTTTTTTGTTTTGTTTTACCAGCAGATACGTGGAATGGTTTTGCGGATAATAGGATCAGGAGAAATTCGCCCAGCAAGCACATCACCGCAGACAAGGGGGGTTCGGAGGGGAGGGGGGTACTCTTGTTAAATGCCCGTGCGTAGAAAGCGTGCCCCGACTCGGAGTGACTTCACCGCCTTCTGCCCCTGCATGCCCTGGAGTGGAAGAAAAAAACCAAGCAGCATGCCAGAGGACTCGACCAGGAAGAGAACAGGTATTACCAGGTATGATGAATAGACGCTGACATGGTTTTTTTGTCAAATGTTAACCTGTGATTTACCCTTTGCGTCAACACGGCTTTGTGCCTACAAAGGTAACAGGCAGCAAAGGTGAGAGACGCTCGGCATATTTATGTTTTACAGTACCGTACTCACCAACAAAACATTGTCCTTGGGGTATAGAAAATAATCTGCATGTCAGATAATGAGAACAATAATGTCGGCATGTGCACTAGGTGGGACCGTCTCGGACGTATACCTCAAATTAATGATAATTAATGTGATATTAAATGTTATACATTTTTACGAACCTTTATCAATCTACTACTGGGTGAAGGGCTCTCCCTTGATCCAGGGAAGTTCCTTAACCATACTTCACAAGGCTGTGCCCCCCATATAGAGTATGGAGTATAGTGTACTGTAGAGGTGCACATGTCAAGTAGAGCACGTGTGTTTACATGTGTGTGGTTACTGGAGAGCAGTGGTAGGGTACAGTGTACGTGAACAGAACTCAATGTGTCAACCGAGTACAAACTGACAGCCCACTTAAGACAAATCTCTAACAAGAGGACACCTGGAATAAACGAGCACGCGATATTTGCGTTCATACAAACGTGCAAGTTACGAACTGTGAATTCCAAATTTGAATAAATGTGCAGAAATGAAGGCAATAGATGAGAGCTCCACGCTAAGCCACAGCGAGGCTGCAAGACGTCTTGCTCCGCGGGATGAGGCTCAAGTCTATCGATCCCAGGATGACAACTTCATTCACAACAGCGGCGTACGGCGTCGTCTGTGCGCCCGGGAGACAGGCTGCTCGCTCACCCACCTCCGCGAGACACACGCCGAGCTCCGTGCAGGCACACCAGCAGCACCACGACTAGGGCGGCTGCCTTCTTCGCGGGGTCCATACCCAACACGGCACCGGCTGCCCAAGTGGCTGCCATGGCCTGCCCTCGACGCCTCCCGCCGCTGTCAACGTGGCCGCGGCTGCTGATGATGATGATGGAGGTGGTGGCATGTAAAGCGACTGTTGCGACAGCCGGGCGTGGGTGACGCCAGGAGGAGGAGGTGGCGGAGGGCGTTGATTTGCGAACGCGGAAGCTCCGTGTGCTACATTCCATGCGCTTGAGACTTTGCTGCACCGGCGAGGCGAACACGTGGCCCTCGTTTACCACCGCGCCAAGAACGAAGCCACGCCCACCAGCCCCGTGACCACGCCCATCAGCCCCGTGACCAGGCCCACTCTCAAACACGCCCCGCCCACTCTCAAACACGCCCCGCCCACTCTCAAACACGCCCCGCCCACTCTCAAACACGCCCCGCCCACTCTCACACACGCCCCGCCCACTCTCACACACGCCCCGCCCACTCTCACACACGCCCCGCCCACTCTCACACACGCCCCGCCCACTCTCACACACGCCCCGCCCACTCTCACACACCCCCCGCCCACTCTCACACACGCCCCGCCCACTCTCACACACGCCCCGCCCACTCTCACACACGCCCCGCCCACTCTCACACACGCCCCGCCCATTCTCACACACGCCCCGCCCACTCTCACACACGCCCCGCCTATCCCTGCACAGACTCCGCCCACTCCTGCGTAGGGCCCCGCCCACTCTCGCGTAGACACACCCACCCAACAACAACAGCCGCCGCCGTTCGCCACTAGGTGGCGCTTGTGTCAGGCAATGTGCACTTTGAGGTGACGTGAAGTATTTTCTTAGTCACGTAGGTAAAAAAATTTCAATTAATTAAAGTAAAACAAAAATAAAATAAAAATCACGACGTTTCGGAGGCAACACAAGCTTCCGTCTTCAGGTGGAACCGTCACAGCACGATAGCTGTTTCTTGATAAAAAAAAAACTAAGAATATGAATCCTTGCAGTCACGAAAGCTTCAAATCTAGAGTTGCGTGAAGTGTCGATGGCTCGCTGGCAGGAAGTCACGGGGACAGACCCAGGTGCCATCGGTTGACTTACTGAAATTACTGGTAAATGCACCACCAGTGCTTCCCGCCCGGCGCTCCGCTCGTTGTTGTGAGCGTCGCTCCTCCGCCCTCCGTTGTTGCTGGAGGGCGACTGCCTCTAACTGCCCAGCAGCAGCGTCCTTCACGAATTTCCTCCGCAGATGTCGATTTTGACACCGCAAGTCCACTCAGCTCCACAACCTCCCGTACCGCATCAGCTCCATGTCTTCTTCAGCCCGTGTCGTGCCCGTTTAGCCCCCTCTGTCCGGTCAAACAGAAGCTGCTTGGACATGCGGTGGCCTGCCGGAGGAGTTCATTGATGGAGATGTGACCCATGAAGTTCACAAGTGGCTTTACAAAAAAACTAGCACTGAATTTAACACCAAAATATGAAGACGTTTCGCTCAAACTGCTTTGAGATTTGAATTGCATTAATTTTGCATCGGTTCGTGAAATCCTTACAGCCACTATCGATGATACGTTTACAGCAGTAGCAATAGATTCGTGAATTTAATCATGATTACAAAGAATCGTGGAAATGAATAGTGAAAGGATTGAATTCATAATAAAGTTTTTTGGGTTAGATCGCGTTATTTATAAATGTGTCGTAACCCTCCACCACCCGACACGGCCAATCAGCAAAAAAGTGTCACGTTGACAAAAGACAAATAGTTCACTACTTTAGCCCACCGGTGTGTTGAAGAGTGAATTCCACAACATTTACAATTTTTGAATTGTTAAACATCGAGTTAGTATCAAGCTGTACTACACTCACAATGATTTTACTGCACTGATAAGTCTTAATAAAAACGAAACCGGTCTACAGTTGTCCATTTGTGAATCACTATCTGTCAGTTTGCTCAAATGCCTTTGATTGTGACCTAAGGCATAAAGCACCACAATACACGTCTTCAACAATATTGAATACTTTTTTACATAGTGCACACACGTTGAGTTTGAAACCAATGTAACCACCACCCAAGTATGCTCTATAAGTCTATACCGTTATGTCGGTGATGGCTCAACAGAGGGCGCTATTACATCATGTTTTGTCTCTGGCAATTGCTTTGGTAATACAGTGCAGTCAATAAAACCCAGCGTGAGTAGTCTGTCTGCTGGTTTGAGCTTTTGGATATGTCACGTCAATTGTTTATGCAAACACAATAGATAAGATGATACATAAATAAAGCATTTTTTACAAAAACAAGTCTCACAACCGTGAGAAACACAATCGTACACATCCAATGAGAATGCAATGATAATTCAAATACCTGCCATATTACCCTCTGCATGCACTAGAAATGTAACCTGATGGCAATACACCACAAGTGGATTTGTGAACCCATCTGCGTGGACCTTTTGCGTGTTATCCTAATTTATTTGTGTAATTATATTTCTTGCTGCATACAAATATCCGTTAATAAGAGAATGGCACAACATCCCAGTGCAGCAGGACCGTGGGCCTCAGTGAGACATACCTGGACAATGAAATGACATTGCCACGAGCATCAGGGATGTAACAACACGTGTATTTTACAGCTGTCCAGTCACCACTCTACACCCGTTTTAAAATGCAAATAAATGGAGACAGAAATATATTTGTCAATCTAAGACATGTAAAAGCCAGACCTGCATTGTTACAATTTAAAATAGTGCATCATCGGTTTTATGGTTAATATATAAAGCATTGCAGGAGAGTGAGAGATGGCGGTGACTTGGCGAGGCCTTCATCCAACGGTGGATTGACCGTGGCTCATGATGATGATGGGATGTTACTTTTGAAAAATGCCACGTATTTTTGGGGTGTTTTGTTTAATCAAATTTCCAATGCTGAATACCGTGTTGTAATTACACCCCGCACTGTAGTGGGACTTTGTAAAAGGGGATAAAGGGGTGCATATCAAACATTCAACGCTGAAATGGGGCTTGAACCTTCAGCTGGGGGTCTCGGTACCCTCTAACGCCCTTTGACGCTATGAGGCTATACAATGTTCACATGTATAATATGTTCATACCTTAACAATGGTGATTGGTCAATCTAATAATGACATACAACTGTGCAGTGCTGACCCAGGATTGAGTGGGATTATGTGGAGGTTTAGCGAGGGAGGATCAGGGATAACTTCAAGTCAGGCAGAGCTGCGTTCATCGCTTCATTATGCTGTCACGTCACTGCTTGAAGAATGACCAGCCAGACCGAGGTGCGATTTATCTTGGATAGATTACTTATACAATTTTATATCACCTCTTAAATCAGTCATATAACTGATAGGTCAAAATGTGGTGTGATATTCATACCCGTTTCTAATGTATTGCATAGCGTGCTGTTTGTTTACGTGAATGACGTGTGGCCATTTTGTGATTTACAGCAAATATCTGAACAGGTTCCTTGGTGAGTCATGAACATCGTTTAACTAATATAGTATAACAAACATACCTTCGTGTTTAACGTTTACAATGTATACTACATCTAATCAGCATGTGCGTGCCTTAGAATAATTGCACTACATATGAGGCTATTTGGGAAATTACACATCTATACCAAAGTCTGTATTCATCAGAGATTAACAGTATAAATAACATATTCATGCTAATGCATTGTCTCTATTTTTTCAGCCAAGCAGACAACACCAATGGTACATACACTTAATGTTTACATTTTAGGATATTACAACTCGTATTTAACGACAGTATATCAAATTACTACAGAAACATTTTTAAAACATTGTTCTGCTAATCTTTCAGACGTAGAAATATAATCGCCACCTAATTCATGAGCCACTTCTGTAATCACACTGACTGCCGTTGCTTTCATCTCTTTACCCTTCTCCTAGGTGACATGGACCAGGGCTCACAGGCAAAGCCAAAGCAGAAGAAGAGGAAACTTGTCAATGGCTCTGGTGAGACTATAACCACACAGTGTGTGTGTGTGTGCAGATGGGTGAACATTATAGGCCAGAGTTTGTTAAAGCAAGGATCTAACAGGCACAGACTTGGAGCCGTTATAAAAATAAAAAAGTAACAGGCTCAAAAACTACTACACGTGTTGAACGAAACCACTGCGTGATTTAGAAAACAACTGGGGTTGTGTGTTAAACATAGGTATACATCGAAGGAAAATCTAAAGGCATGGTTTTGATGATTTTGTAAGCACACATTAAGTGCCAATGTATGCCCGTACCTGTAGACACTACTTATTTTTTATGTTGTGCTGGTGTTACGGTTGACATTGACATCTGAGGTACAAAATACCGGCACTATAAATGGGTAAGAATATTTCACAATACTGGAATACAGCAGTACATATAACTGCATTGTCTTGAGTGGCATATTATTGTAATTACACAACCTACAAAAAAAACACTACTTTTAATTTCTTGGGAAAGATGAACATATTTCCAAAAGAGCTAGATACCAAAAAGGGGGGGAGCAATTCTGGGAGAACCTAGGACAGCTGTCATCCCCAGTGAGTGTGTGTAGCCGGGACGCTGCGTAAGTCTGTTGTTGGTTGTTGTTTTTTTCTCCGGATGAGGGTTGTCGGTGCCACCCGAGTGGAGCCAGGTGGAGAGTGCAGAGCGAGCGGGGGCTGAGCTCCCAGGGCTGGTCAAAGCCAAAAAAGCCAAGCGAGCTCGCACCCAAAATGGAGGTACGATATGCCAAAATGAATGTGAATCTTGGATGTATTCACGTAGTAATACCCCGGCTTACACATCTCCGCCCCCCCCTCCTCCATGCTCGCGAAATACCTCGTCACGTTATTAATAACCACGGCCTGATTTGCGTCGTCTCAAACCCCACACTTACGTCGCTGACAGCATCCGTCCGTCCTTGGTCGTGTCCGTCACCTCTCAGTCGTCGCCTCCATCAACCCTGTAAATTGCTTTGATTTACGTCGCTTCGATATTCGTCGCCGCACCTTTGAGAAACGCATCCCCAATGCAAACCGGGGTATTTCTGCATAAGCAGGGAACTGAAATACCGTATGACATGTTCTTATACTCTAGCTAGATGAGGAATGTGTTTATCTCGTTATGATGGGTGATGTGTATCCTGCTGCTGCACGATTGGGCAATGTGCTGCGTCTCTCCTTTTTTCGAATATCTCTACCTTTTGCACTTCATTGCCACCTATTCCCCTCCAGCCCCTGAAACAATTGTATATGTTTCTGCATCCTGTTACTGAT